TTCCGTTTTACTAAAAATTTTTCACATATACAATCACAGCATTGCCAACTCTCTCTTCTCTTCGTCTGTTTTCCATACTTACAAAAAGAATTAATTCTGTTAGTTACAAAATGCAAATACTTTCAATCAAACCTAATCGTATTCAGGAAACGGTAGAAAGAACGGAAAATGGAAAAAAAATAAAAAAAAGCACGGAGACAACAACAAATGTTTTCCATCATGAGAATGGAGAAGAAGAAGTGGAAAGCAAAGAGGTCAATGAAAGGACGGTCATCATGGGGGTGGGAGTGAGTGATCCATACTCTGATGATGATGTCATCATCAATGTTACCACCGAACGATCCGAACAGGTTATATCGACATTTTGACTAAATTATCCCGTTTCTAAATCGTTGTTAACAACGATGATTAAATGAATAAATATTTATTAAAATTATTTAGGAATTCAATAAAATTTTTGTTTTGGGATTATAATTGTCATCATAATCTTGTAAAATATGAATTTTTTTATAATTAAACAAAAATTTATCGTGAAAAGTTTCGAAAATTTTAAACGTTTTTACATTTTTAGTCGTTCGTCGATGGCAGCTCCATAAACAAGAAGTTTACAACTATTGCTGTCGAATCCAAACTAATAAATCAAGTATATAATGCTTAAAAATATTTTTCCTTATATATATGCTTAGCGTCAAAATTATTAGGTGTTGATTTTCAAAATTCATACGCTGGCAACGAATGTACTCGTTGATATTATAATTATTTTTGCAAAATAATATTTAATTGAAAGCAAACAACAAATTTTTTAAAGGAAACCGACGAAACTCCAATCACTCCGACATTCGTCGCACAAAAAATAATTGATCCACCGACTAATGCGAAACAGGAAGAAGAGGATTTGGCTGAGAACAAACGAAAATTTTACGATCAACTGAAAAATTGGAATAATAGCGAGAATGAAGTTGATTTAGAAAACAACGTACCGGAGGATGTGGTAAGTGTTAGCGAGGAACTTCTCATCAAAGAAGAATGTGAGAAAAAAGGTTAATCAACATTTCAGTCGATCAATTAATCATTACCAACCTTTAATTATAAACTATCGCTTTTTCGGTAGTAACCAACGGCGTTTTCCAACTGTTTACGTCTCTTTATCAAGAAAACTACGTCATTATAACTAGACCAGGCGGTCAGATCTTACCATCGATGTTGCCTATACTCGTTTTTATTTATTTTTTTTATTTATTTAATAAAACATTAGTCATTTTAAATAATATTTAGTGTTAAATTCTATTTTATCGCAACTTAGAGGCACATCTGATATTATCGCAACTTGTGAATGACTGTTACGAAGCAGACCTAGAGAAGTTAGGTGACCAACCAACGCACCACACTCTCTGTCCACCGACCATTTCAGTGGTGGGGGCCAGTCCTGTTGCTGCTTATCTTTCCGAAAGTGATCAAGAAGAAAAACTTGGGCAGGATAACGATTCAAAAACTACAGATGAAGAAAAGGCGGTTGATGAAAAACTCGCTGACAAAAAATCCAGCAAGAAAGGAATTTTCCAAAATGAATTTGGCAGTGAAATGACGGGGAAACCCAGCATATTTGAAAACGTCGAACGAGAAGTTATGAATGAATATAGCAACAATGAAGCTGGTGGCACATTTGATACAAGTGCCGATTGAAAGTTGTTCACTTTAAATAATTTAAAAATTATTTTTAAATTTATTGATTATAACTATTTCTGTCGATATATTTATAACTTGTACAGTTGTTACATTATTTGCAAATGAAATTAATAACCTATCAATCTCAGTCACCATATATTTTATTACAAACTTTTGCTAGACGCTACTTTCAATGTTAGTTTTGCTCTAGCCGTATAAAAAAAATGCATTTATTAATGTTAATCGCAGTGCATATCTATCAATCTGTCGAAAACATATTTTTATAAGTTTTCTACTAAGCTGTCCTTGGCAGAATTAATGATCGCATGGTATTTATTATTTATTATATGTTATTTTTATAATTATTATAATTTTTTATTGCATTACGTTTGTAAAAACAAATTCAGTGATGGTTAAGATTCTTTATGTTAACGATGCATTTTATTTATCCAAACATGACAAGAGCGATATAATATATATATATATATATATATATATATATATATATATATATATATATTTATATATATATATATTATACTTCTATAGTAAATAGAAATAGTATGTAATAGTTGGAATATTTCTACTATCAATAATTGTAATAATGATGTATTTAATAATAATTTAGTTGATCAGTATTGTTGTCTATCTATTGAGTAGTTATAATAACAGGCAGTTGAGTAGGTACGAAAAAGTAAACACGCACTGCACACTTTATAAAAAATATATATTTGGTCTGTATATATTTATTGTTTGTTTTATATATTTCACCGTTGTATTTTGCTTACATGCTCATAGCTGTTAATATCATGCACATCATTTACAATCAGCTGCTTGATACTGCAACTATCTTATATTTTTTGTTAATTAATGTGACAATCACATACACAAAACGATCATGATCATCACTGAATATAGATTTTAGGGAGGATTTTGAAGTTTTACATTGAAAACTCGTTCAGCTTCAACTTTAAATTTTATTTTTGAATATAATCACATTGAGGTTTGAGATTGAAGAGCCACATTAACTATGAGTTGGTATATTTTTTATTTAAGACCATTTCTCAGGAGTCTTGTACAAACAAGGCGATCCATTATGATCCATTGCTTTCTCTTATATGTTTTAAAAATATAACTTTGTTTCATACGTTTTTGATGTTGTCTTAATTTGTTGCAATCCATCAGAGCGATAAGGTTTCATTGAGACATTCATTTTTTCTTTTAATGAGTTATTAATTAATTTTATTAATATTTTATTTTAAAAAGTTAAACTGCCTTCGTTTCTATTTTCACTGGTAGCTAGTTTTACAGTGTTGCTGTTTCTGTTACTTTTTTTAGTTGTTTTTGTACCATTCTGTTCGATAATCGCTCAGATTTCATCAGGTTCAACATATTACACTTTCCTCATCATCCATGAACAGATTTTATTGTGTTACCTACCTACCATCATACGTTTAAAATTCTATATACAAGGATGTTTAATTTACCGTTTCAACTTTATATCAATTTTTAACAACTGTTTTTATAACAGATTACATGTTGCTTCGTGTTCTACCGTTTGCATTGCTGCTATATATGTATAAATATAAACAATTAAACACACATTATGTTGACATATTCTTTCTGATAAAAAAAATGTTATTTATTCACAGTGATTTTCAAAGGATGTCAACTTTGTTGTTCGGAATGTATTAGTTCAACTTGTTTATAGTAAATTAGTTTTGTCTCTATATAATGGTTTCTATGTACATATTAGTTTCCTACATTCCAACTGCTTGAATTCATGTTCGTTGTTATTCCTTTGTTTGATAAAATAAAATTTCGATGTTCTCTACTTCAGTTCTCCCAACAACAACTTTGTTAGAAAAATTAGAATATACAATTTATCAATTTACACACACAACACACACAACACACACACACACACACACACACGGTGGCGGATCTAGAAAACTTTGACGGGAAGCCACTAGGAGGTCAACATTTTCACAGGCAGGGGCCAAGATTTGTTGTAGTGTGGCCTTTTTTGCTTATCACGTCTAATTTTTGGTCATTTTCACAAATAAAACGGTGATTTTTTGACTTTTATTAAAAAACTGCCCCCCTCCAGATTCGCCACTAACGCTTATCAGATGTAGTGCATGTGTTGCGTCGTTTAGCACTTATTAACGTATTCTTACTGTGGTTTGTGTATTGTTGATGATGCCTTTGTACTTTGGAAGAAACAGATATGTTTTGATTTGAGATTAATTTTTTAGCAATCAGTTGGAATGTTAAAATCTGTCAAATGGCACTTCGATCTTTTCTGAATCCTCCTTGGTGTTCTCCGTAGTTTGTCTTCCAATGCACCTCTCAATCTTATTCGTAGGTATCAGTGCTACTGTGCGACAGTTTGTACATCTTGCAATATCTCTTTTTTTGGAAACGTCACTAATTGATTTATACTAATCTACTGGCTGCTTACCACTTTTCCAATATTCCTACACTGGTATCAGGGGTATCAGCTAATAAAATCTGCAAATTTGATAAATTAAACGCTAGAAAATGATTCGATTGTATTTTGATACACTCCTACGACGAGTATTTTTTGTTTTTGTATGAAATGATGTCCTTAATTAAGACTTTGAAGTCAAAAGTTTGAATCAACTTGCGAACAAGAAATAATTTATTGTCGTCCTCTCGTTATTATTTCAAGATGTCAGATATTTTTGTAGGTTTTTTTGAATTTCAGCATTATTAAATTCAATTTGACTTAAATAAAATCAAAAAAACTAAAGCTAAACCAAAATCTAAAAATCAAGCTGACTAACAATTAAAAATTAAAAAACTAAAAAATAAAAGACTACAAAACTAAGGCAGTCCAATTCTTATTTAAATTTTACACTTTTAAATAATTTGATAAAAAATTTGTAAATTTGGTGATAGCAGCTGCAGTAGCCATTTCTGGCTGGTAGGACCTCTGTTTTCTAATCTCTTGAACTTGATTGAACTCATTTGGATCTGACATCAAGACTCGACTGATTGGCATTAAAAATTAAAATTAAATTAAATGAATTTATCTGTCCTGCATACTTTCTTAAATTAAATTTATAAATATACTCAACTAGGTGGATTTTTAATGGTTTTAATTTGTCTGGTTTGGGAAAATAAATTATAAACAGCTGATTAATTGTGGTTTTTACTTTCAGCACTGACTGTTAAATCTACTTTATTAACAGTGTTAATTAAGAAGACTGAACAAGTAACCTACAGAAGCAAATGTGGAGAATAGTGTAGTAAGCAGTGTTCAATAAATAGTTCCATCACCACCACAAATAGAACTAAAAAACAACACAATGGCTGCTAGTGTTGGCTGCACTTCAACTCACCAGAAGGGTCCTGCTAATATTTTAAACAACTCTTCGTTTAGGAGTGAACTTCTTGAAGTTGCTCATCACTTAAAGAATGAAAAGTCATTTGTGGGCAATGAAAAGGAAAATATTAAAAAACTTTACAGCTTAGTTGATAATAGCTCCATGAAGGTTCACCAGTTGAATATGTCAGTACATCAACAACGATGTCTGTTAAATGATCTGATCACTGGCTCATGCAGAGTAACTCCTCAGATATGCTGCTCTAGGTTTTTATTCATTGGTTACTTACTACATTCATTAACATACCTGATGTCATTTGATTGATTTAATTCATCATGTTTCTTCATCATCATGTTATTTCATCAGCATGTTACTTCACTTTATTGTGTTACTTAAATCTTCATCCTGTTAATTCTTTCAACAACACACGTTTAGACAACATTTTCCCCGAGATCGGGGTTGCCGTTTGGCTACCTATGATGAAACCGAAATATCCCTCGATGCCATCCACATCTGTCACTCGCCTCAGTATCACGCAACCCTGCTTTCACCCTGTCCTTCTCCACCTGCTCTCTCCATCCCAATCGCAGACGACCCCTTCCTACCACTCCTTCAACCTCGAACTCCAACGCTCACCTAATCCCGACCCTTTCATCCCTTCTCAACACATGTCCATACCACCGCAATCTCGATCTCCTTATCAATGTCACAATGTCCTCATTCAGTCCCATCATTGACATCAGCTCTGTACTACTCCTCCTATCCTTCACTTTAACCCCACACATCATCCTCACCATAGCTCTTTCAGCCCTCTGCAGTACACTTTCTTCCTCTCTCCTCAACACCCAACTTTCACCACCATATACCATCGCTGCTCTCACACATGCTTTATATACCCTCCCTTATAATCCTGTTAATTCTTTCCTCATGTTAATTCATCACCATGTTACTTCTTTCATCATGTTACTTCATCATCAGGTTACTTCATTCCTCATGCCTCTTAGTCCATGGTACTTGATTTAAAATATTAATTCATTCTTCATGGACATATTCATCAATTGTATTTCATGTTTTCAAATGTGCTGATGATAATTTTTACCAATAATATGTTCCTCATTGTAATATAATTATAATGATTTGGTTTTGCTGTAGCTTTCAGTTTAACTGTTTGTTACATTATGTTTACATTTTTCAAAATAATTTTAAAATAAAAACTGTAAAAGCAGGGAAAACATAACATGTCAAGCATATTTTTTTAGTTTTGTGTATCTTCTATATCTATATAAATTTGTTAACTTTGTGTATTTACTCCAAACTTTTTGTTAAATTTTATTTAAATTGTAGTTTAGTAAAGTTAAATAATGGTACAATTTTTTATGAGCTAGTTTATTTATTTTTATAGTTAAGTATCATTTTACGGTTTTAAAGTTGGTTTGAACTTTGATTATTATTTAATTATTTGTTATATTTTATCAAATGAGCTCATTCTTAAAGTTATGTAGCTTTTTTTGACATAACTTTTAAACGAAATATCTATGTTACTTTTTATTTTTATTATTAACTTTATTAGTTGCCTGAGTTTATTTGTCTTTAATAGCCACATCAACTTCATTAAATTTTAACAATATTAACATCAATCTTCCGTAACAGATTCAATTCTCTTTCAAAAGCAAATTTCATCGATGGTTATAAGTTTCTCACCCACCATGAATTGAGAGTCGGTCGATTTCTCAAATCTTTTCGAGGAAATCCGAAATTAGTTGCCTTGTGTATATCAGAGTTGGAGTCATCGAAGGAGGCATGTTGTGTGGAACACTTTGTCAGGGTTGTTATGTTGCAGCTGTATGAGGGACTGATCACTCACGAGGATGAAGTCCTGGCTGGCAGGATGCTGCAACATTTGTTCCTCTTCCAAGTTTGTACATGCATCATTTAATTGTGTTGGTGAATATTGTGAGGATTGTTAGGAAATTGTAGAACAATCTGTTTACGTGAATGATGGTTTTGATGTAGCATAATGGTAGGGATGGATAATTTTTACATGTTTGCCTACATTTAATGATATTCATTTTATAGATTCAGAAACACTCCACCAATTCATTGAAACATTTCTTAAAGTCCGAAACTGCATTCAACATTGCTTATCGTCTGTACACTGAATGCCTATCCTCTTCAAAGACTTTCTTGACAGCAGCTTTCCACAGTCCAACTATTTCGTTACTTTCAGAAGATGAATGGTATTTTGATGTCGATGTGAGCAGTTGCATTGCCAGACTGGGTCCTGCTGAAGCACTCAGAAGATTTGGTCAGGCATCAAGTGAAGATTACGATGTCAAGGTCAAGGTTCACCATACAAGACTAATGGACAAATTAGTTTACTTTACAAAACTGTTCATTGAAAGTTTGAAAAGTTGTCATTCCATCTTTCCAAAGTCCCTCGCGAGGATCTTCAAAAACATTTACAAAGTATTTTCAACATCACAACATCTTTCACAGCAGCAGCAGCAAGATGGCAATCACAATGAAGCAAACTGGGATGTAGGCGACAACAACGTTTTTATGAATGGTGCATGTAATTCAAACTTCTCATCAGATTGTAATGAAAATGATATTAAGAAAGCCCTTCTGAATATGGTACTGAACTCGTTCATATGTCTCGCCATATGCGATCCGCAGTTCGGTGGAGTAGTCTCTGATACTCCAATTAGTGAAGTTAGCAGGCACAACCTCAGGCAGATTGCTCACATCATTCAGAATCTGTGTCTTTCCACTGTCGATGATGTTGATGTTCCAGCTTGTGAACTCTATGATAAGTTTGATAAGGTTTGATAAAATTTGTTTCTATTATGTTGTCATTTATTTTCAGTTGTGTCAGTTCAAACTAGAAATAAGTATCTGTAAATTATTTGTTCAATAAAAAATAGACAAGTTCAAATGGAGATATTTCTCCCTTCATTTAATCTGTTACTTTTGTAATGAAATGATTTGGCCCAAGACCCTTCTTCATATTTAGATTTTTGTTTGGCTATAATCTTTCAATATAATTTGTCTTATTTCAAGTGCAAAACACTTTTGCTTCATAATATTTCCATAAATTTACATGCATTATTAACCAGTTCATGCATGAACTTCTCCAGGAAACATGTTTAAAACATTATGTTACATTACTTAACGTTATTTTTCAACATATTACATTTCATTTATTTGTATAGGATTGCTTATCTTTCTTGCTGGATATGATTATACGAATAGAGGATGATAGTGACGATGACGAAGATGATGAGGAGGAGGATGGGGAGGTTGTGTGCAGAGATGATAATGATTCTCCTCAAAGATCTTCACTCATGATGATTCCTTCCGACCTTCTTCAAATGGTTTGCCCCTTTTTTTGTTTTTTCGCTTGTCTTTCTTCTTCTTTGTTTATTTATTTATTACATTTTTATGTTTATTTACTATTTTGTGCATTGTTTGGTCATATATTATATTATGTCCTGGTTATGACATTAAACTGACCCTCACTGCCTTGTGAGTGATGTTGGATCATCAAAGGCTAGGCCCACCGCTTATAACTGTGGTTGCGTAAGGAAGGGTGTCCTGCATAAAAATTAACCAAATAAATTACTTATGATGGAATGGCGTCGAGGGGTATTTCGGTTTCATCATAGGTAGCCAAACGGCAACCCCCGATCTTGGGGAAAATGTCGTCTAAACGTATGTTGTTGTTGTTGGTCATATATTATATTGTATATTATATGATAATATATAATATAATATATGAGAACTATGTATATATCAAGAAAGTAGAATTTTATATTCATTCAGAAATCTTTCAAATTGTACTTTAGACCTAACATGTTGTCATTCTGTTTAGTTTCGTTTGTTTATATGAGGCAGTTAACTTTATGACTCAAGTGCGATATTGCATTAATTCATGTATCTGATAATGCATTCAATCATGTACCATTCAATAAATTGATATGAGAATCAATTCATCCAATCACTACAATCCAATCACAATCACTCCAATTGACATCAATCAATTTATCTGATCAAATAACCTAATAGATCTTTAGCCAATCAAAATATTCATACATGCAACAATCAACATATCCCAATTCATATTGAATCTGTGACACAGCCGCTTTGTAATATTCGACAATGAAAAAAATTGACTGCTGATTTGTTTATTTGTTAATAATTATATTTTGATCAATTATCCATATTATTCAAAGATTGAGTTGGTCTACAGCACTTCATTATCTGACGATTGTCAACAACATGAGCAACAACAAAACACACAATATGAACAACATCAACAGCTTAAACAACAACAACAGCAGCAACAACATTCTAAGCATGAGCAACAACATAAACAACTTCAGAGACGACTTCATCAGCTGATAGTTAATTCAAACCTTCCCCCTGTATCTGCATTAAAAACTTGCTATAAACAATTTTTGGATAGTTCTCAAGAAAACCACAGCAACAACAACAACATCAACCGCAACAACAACAACATCAACCGCAACAACAACACATTAACATCATCACTGCCTACAACACCATCATCATCAACATCTGCAGGTTCATTTTTTTGACAGGATGCAATGTACTGATGATGATGATGATATTTGTTATTGTAAACTATTATACATTATTATTATTATTATTATTAGTAGTAGTAGTAGTGTTGTAGTAGTATTAGTAGTAGTAGTAGTATTAGTAGTAGTAGTTGTTGTAGTAGTAGTAGTAGTTGTAGTAGTAGTAGTAGTTGTAGCAGATGTAATAGTATTAATAGTAGTGTTTTTGTATTATGCCTTGTCTTAAATTCTTCATATTGTGAAGATGAATGATAGTTAGTTGAGAATGTTTACATTTATTTTATTGATAAAATCCTCTAATATTTAAAATATGTTTTCACAATTGTAATAAAGTTTTGGACAGATTGATGTTTTTTGCTGATCCAGCTTATTTTATAATGAATAATTATTATTATGAATGATTAAAATTTTCTTTTTTTCTTCTTTTTTTCAATATTCCATTAAACTTTTCAAAACATTAATTAAACTGGCTTCAGAGATCTTTTTAAAAGGCTCTTACTAATACACTTACTAAAGCTTGCTGGAAATATAACAGTTTATTATTGCATTATTTTTCCCATGCCTTGTTTTTTAACTAGTAAATAACTATGGCACATTTTAAAGTAATATGGAAACAACCAGAAAGTTGTTGGAAAGATTAACAAGGTGTGTGAATAATGTATGGAACAATTTTATAGTATTGGTGTCACAACATCAGGTAAGCATTATTTTCTCACAGCAAGCAGATACTGTTAATGGCATATTCAGCTCACGCCAACTGCACAAGCTTTCAATTATTCAACAAAAACCACATGTAGTCTAACAAAATTTATCAATCCCCTTTTTAATAATTAAGTTATTAGGTAAAAGTTATTGGACATATGTTTCACAACTGTTTACTAAAGCATTGTATATTTTATCTCTGAGGAGAATTTCAACCATTTGACAATTTGTCAAAAGGGTTTAAAGCCAAACCACCTTACTATGAGATAACCACCCACATTTATTATTTCAGTACATACCAACATACAGACAAATCTCCGCGAATTTGACAAAATTTGATAACATTAAATAAAAGTTTACCTAAGTATATATATAAGCAAGTGTAGTTAGTTTTTATTAACAAACAACATAGGCAATAGGAAGAAGAGGCCAGTAGACAAGAGGACGAGTGGGGCAGTGCCACTCTTTCCAGCAACACCACCCTCCCAACCAGATAGCAATGATGACAAGAATCATCATCAACAACAACAACATCATCATCATGACAACAACTTCAACTCCTTCGTCATCATCAGTTTTGGTATTTACAATGAATGCCCTGGAATGCTGCCTGAGAATAAAGTGATTATGATGATGATGATGATGATCACAGCAGTGATGACGACAATGATGGTGGTGGTGAAGATATAACGATGATGATATGTTGTTGGTAGCTTGAAGATGGTGATAGTTATTATGCATAAAAAACTTGCAACAATTAAGAATTGTAATGTTGGCAATTATAGGTTAATGATGGCAAATTGTTTAATTAATTATGTTAATGATGATTTCGTTATATTAATGATGATTGTGTTGAGATCATATGCTTATAATGAGTTGGTATGATGAACTACACAGGGAAAAAGGGGAAACTTCTTATTAACTAGTTAGATGATCATTATGATGTTGATGATTGTAAAGGGGATGATGTATGAACTTTGCTATTTTTCAAAAAAGGATTGTAGAGATTTCGTAAATCATTATTGATTGTGGTGATGATGATAGCGAGGATTTATGCTGTCATCATCACCATCAGTATGGCTAAGTTTTTGCGATAATGATAAGACTGTTGTTGTCAACAAATACACCCAACGCAGATCTTAGAAGAAAGTTTGAAGCAAGGCAGAATTTCTTTAAACAAGCCAAGTGAAGATAATGATGATAATGATAGACACCAACGTCATCACCATCATCATCAGGAGGCACATGATAAAGATAATGCTGCTAACACAACTGTCAGTGAGAAACGAACTCGATTTTCTTTGTCACATGACCATGATTCTGCTGGTTCGGTTCCATTTAATTTTTCAATATATTATAAAACAATAAAATTCACGCTGATAATTTTTCAATAAAAATATAATGATAGAGAATATATTCTTATGCGTTTTGTTTAAAAATAGCTTTATGATGTAACATTTTGATTATTGCAGTGAAGTAATTAAAGTTAATTAAAAGGTTATTTTAAGTTAATTTTTATTTTTTAACAAATTATTGCATCATCTGTCTTTGATTTACAATATTTGATGGCTTGAACATCACAAACAAAAAATGTTCATTTTTTCATTGCTGAGAGAATGTGTGGGATTCATTTAAATGCAATAAATTTGTTGGACTTTATGACTTTATTATACTGCAAAGTAGAAATGCTTGATTAACTAACTGTTTCAAATCACATGAAACCTGTTAAAATTTAAGATATTACTTTATGGACTCATTTTGATTAATACATAAACTTCTGTGTCTTATGACAGAACCCAGCAGCAGCAACAACAACAACAACAATGAGGGAGCATCCGAGGAAGCAGTGTCCAGTCATTCAACCGACAACGACGACAACAACTCCAATGATAACTTATCCGACATGGCTTACTCTGCAAACCTCTCGGGTCACAACACGCCCAGCTTGGTCAGCGGTCGAGACACTCCTGTGTCACTGATATCAGGAGCACCAGAGCTAGTTGGAGGAGGTGTCGTTGATGGAGATGGGGATCGCCCGATGGAAAATATTGCTGTCAGTTTGAATGTTGGCAGTGGGGACAATGCGGCTAACATCGGAAATATCCCGGGGGAGAATATTATGGCGTCAGTCAGGCATAATCCTGGAGCCTCCGGTGATAATCTTGCTTCCAATGTTGTCGGTATTTCTATGGGAGGCGTGGGCAGAGGTGGTGTGGGCATTGTTCTCATGACGACCGGCAGGCGAAGAAGGGATGATGTGACTGACAAGTTTGGAAAGTTTGACATAAAACAGGATTTGGAATGTTAGATTTGCATTTTTTCAATTTATATAGCTATAGCTTCAGATTTTTGTGCACCAGTCAAGTTTTCAATCATTAGTCTTTTACCTAGTTTTCTTTTTTTTTTATTAATTTCTTAAACGTTACGTGCAACAACCAATTTTTTTATCAACCAATTTCTTTTGACCAATGAATTTTTCAGATGAAGCAAAGTCGACAGTGAGTGACACATGGAGCACTGACGTGTTGGCTTCTGATTCGGAACCACCACCTGAACAGAACCAACTGGATCGATTGGAGGAAGTCGTGGAAGAGAGGGGGGTTGTTCGGGTCTTCCCCTCTGCTGCAAATGCTGGAATCTTCACTGCAGAAGTTTGTTGGCATCATAATTTGCTTACAATTCGAGACTCCCTCGCTTTTGACTTTTGAAAATTTTTAATGTTTACAAAAATGTTTGTGTCCTGGTTATGACATTAAACTGACCCTCACTGCCTTGTGAGTGATGTTGGATCATCAAAGGCTAGGCCCACCGCTTATAACTGTGGTTGCGTAAGGAAGGGCGTCCTGCGTAAAAACGAGCTAAAAATAATACTTATGATGACGGAAGTAACAATGGCCCTCAGAATCTGGCAGAAGAGGGTGCGAAGAATCTCCGGAGACCCAGTCCATGGGGTTGTGGTGCAAGGCCCTGTGGATGGTCTGGCTACTGGCACCCCACTCTATAGTTTGGCGGTGCAAGGCACTATAGATGGAAGGGAAGGGGTCGTCCGCGATTGGGATGGAGAGAGCAGGTGGAGAAGGACAGGGTGAAAGCGGGGTTGCGTGATACTGAGGCGAGTGACAGATGTGGATGGCGTCGAGGGGTATTTCGGTTTCATCATAGGTAGCCAAACGGCAACCCCCGATCTCGGGGAAAATGTCGTCTAAACGTGTGTTGTTGTTGTTGATGTTTACAAAATGCTCTATGGCTGCTCTGCTAATGTAGCTAATGGTTCATATTGTTGTTGAAAATTTACTAGAAGTAGCTCGAAAAAGCCTTATATATTTTAATTACACGATGCTGGTAATAAAAATTTGTTGTCATATGAAAATTTTATTTGAATATTATTGATGTGTATGATGATCATCTATATATTTGCCAGGCTTCAGAGACGGCCAGTGATGCGTGGAGTACGGACGTGCTGGCCAGTGACACGAGTGAGAGGCAGGCCGACCGACTGCTTGAACTTGATCAGGTATAAATGTTGATAAAAAGATTGGGTAGACATTAGAGGTTTATTTTTATAAAGAAATCATTTGATCAAGTTGTAAGGGAGCGAATTATTCAATTTTTCTAGTTGTCCTAATTAAAATACTTCCTCAGGATGATGTGTGCAGCTTATCAGGAAGAAGCAACTATTCGACATCGTCGTTGTTGAGATTGCAGCAACAGCAGCAGCACCAAGACGTCTTTATTGATAACATGCCACTTAATTCAGGAGTAGTCTTGCCCCAAGTGACAACATCTTATGCAGCACATAGAAGCCATGTTGATGATCTCACTCTGAAGGGCAGCTACAAGAGGAGAGGTCGGTTTTGTTGTTTTTTGTTCGATCGAGCATTTAATATTGTGGAAGTGCCTTTTCATTTCGTCCATGACAATTTTTAAGAAGACTTTATGCCATAATTTTTATTTAAAATCTCCGTTAATAATGATGATGCAATCCTGCATGATTGAAAGCTTTTTCAATTCTGATACTGTCCTGAACATCCACATGATTGTATTTGGAATCATCAAGGCAGGTTCTAATTGACTGGCTTCACAGCCACAACAAATTTCTGGCAGTATGATATGAGCTTATATAAACTTGGCTTTATGGTCTGTTGAGACCAATGTAATTTTTTTTCATTTTTCTACAGAAGCACAAGCTGTTAGCCAGAGAGATGAATGCCATAGGAAGGAGCACAGCAGTGAAGATGGCAGTGGTTTTAACAATTCTTTTGAGCAAGATGTCTTCATTAACAACAACAGCAGCAACACTCAAAATAATGTTGGATTCAACAACCGACAGCATATTCAATCGAACTTTGATAATCTAGAAACATTTTTTAACACTCCTAACATGGTAGTGAAGAATGCAACGATAACTTCTGCAACTTCAGCAACACCAAATGATCCATTCAGCATTTTTGATCCTCTAAGTTCATTCAGCGGTGTTGAAGCCTCTAAGATGAATTCAACATCAGCTGACAATTTGAGTTAGTTGCGTTTTTCAGTTTTCATCATTTCATCGATTTTATTGAATCATATTTTATGGTTTTTTTTTGTTGAACCAGATATGCTACTGACAGATCTAAACAAGGATATAAATAACAACTGCCACAACAGCATCAACAACAATATGACGGGTAGCATCACTGATGTGACTAGCAACAACAACATCAACAGCAGCAGCGGCAGCAACCACAATCACAGCATGATGTCCACACGGTCATCATCTTCAATGACACACCTCCAAAACTTTTTCATCGCATCCGAATCCAACCTGGTCGTCACCAACCTCAGTAACTCCATCTCATCCCTCAATTCATCATCACTCACTCCTAACAAGGTTTCCATCGTCTGTGGTGATTGTGCTGATTACAATGGTCATGATTAGAATGTTGATGGTTATGATAGCGATGGTGATGATGCTGAAATTTGTTCAGTTGAATAATTATTGAATAATAATTGTTGAATAATAATTCTATATCCACAATGGTCGTTAAACTTAAATATTTTGTGCCGACTGCAAGTGCTATAAAATGTGGGAATGGACTTACTATACTCCACGCATGATGTGGTTGCTTAACACTAACTAGGACTAATTCTAAAAGTAGTAATAAATGTGAATGCTTTCATTGTTATATCTATATTATTATTGTTATTATTATTATAGCTATATTATAATTTTTATTCAGATTGTAGATGAAAAAAAGAAGAAATCTGGCATCTTTGGTCACTTCAAAGAAAAATTAACCAAAAGTACTTTGATTATTTTTAAAATATCCCAGCATGAAATTCAATAAATGTTACTTATCTTTTGAGATGCAATAATTAAATTTGGGTGTATTCACTATGACTGATTAAAAATTAAGTACTGAATTGTATTGTGTGAAACATTTCCTTCCTACACACATAGTGAATTCCTCAAACAAGCGCAAAGTATTGGGAGATGGTAACGAATGTTCATCGCACCGGGCTCCTCCAAGTTCAATCCTTATCGATTTCAATCAAGGTTCGCTTGTACATCATTTATTTATTATTCATTAGGTTCACTCACATCATTTCTTTTCCATTTTAGATTATGGTTCGCTCATTTGTTAACACATTTTTTTTGTGCGGGTTAATGTACGGCAGAGGAATGGCCATTATTTATTCATACATTGTTTGGAAATGGTTTTAAAATATGATATAAAGTCAATAATTATAATAGTTATTGCTATTACAAGTTATTGTAGGAATGATTAATTAATTGATTAATTAATTAGATGCTGACAAATGTAAATTGATTCATTAAGTTTTCATTGCACTTCTACACATTTATTATTGATCATGTCATTAATTTTACTGTTGTTGTGTTGTCATGTTACGAACCTTACTGCAATTATTACTGCTGTTATGTGTCATGATGTCATGAACATTTCTGTTGCTATGTCTTGTCATGTCTAGAACCTTACTTTTGCTGTTTTGTGACTATTCTTGAATTTTCAAAATTTTCAACCATTATTTGCAGAGATTTCAAACAACAACAATTCGACCAATATTGATTATGGTGAGCATTCTTTCATTGTTATTCATTAATGTTATTCACTGACGTACTGATTATCATAATAATAATAATAATATTCTTCCATTTGCTATTTATCTTTACCATTGTGATTGTTAATTTGTTTTTCCTGGTTTAAAATTAGAACGGTTTTTCGTTTTGTTATTTTTATTCTATTTTATTGTTTTACTCATTTTACCTTTTCTTGTTTATGCCACTATGTTACGAACGTGTATGTATATATGTTTCGATTGTATACCTCATTATTTCAATTTTCATTTGGAAGTTGGAGAGTCTAGGAGGGATTTGATGCTTGTCATGCCTGTGTTTTTAACTCGATAATAGATTTAATTTGTTTCCTTACTTTTTATTGCCTTCACTTAAATCTTGTTTATTTATTCTTTTTACCAGTTTTAACCACCCTGTCACAAAACAGTAATAAATAGCTATGAAAATACGTGAAGCCCATTTATGAGATGATGAAGTGAGACGGCGCTTCAGCGTTGAAATATTTTGCACCATGAGAACCGCACTTTTTCATGTGCTGGTGTCTTTATTCACTCCACTGTTTTCTTGTAGTGGGTTTGTTTTTACCAAGTTTCAGTGAACGTGAATATTTTGAAACGGCAAGGAGTTTTGTTTTTTGTTCTGCAAGTATAAATCTTTTCTAACTGATTACTAAATAAACAGATACAATATTAGAGAAGTACAGAAAGTCGCCACAGCAGCCACAGGTTGCATTAATGCAAACAACATCAACGTCTTCTACCACCAACAACAACAACGACTGCAATTCTAATGGCATGAGATTGACCACTCATCAGCAGACATCATTACTATCACTCCCAACCACATCATCGTCATCGCCATCTCCATTGGCTCATTCGTCAAACTGGGAGAAATCATTCCCAGATAGCATCGATCATCATCATCATCCCCGTCATCATCATGGCGGTGCCAGTCCGAACCATATGAATGGTAACAAGGATGGTGTCATTGATCGTTTTGTTGAGGCAAAAACGAAGCTAAGATTGGTTCTCAGTAAAGTTGATTGTGAACAGGTAATGTTTGCTGCAACGTGTTGTGACGGTTGCTGAAACATGTTGTGATGGTTGCTGCAACGTGTTGTGATGGTGTGTTGACCTCAATCACCAAATAATTTAATATCACCTGTCCTCAGTTTCGCCTGTCAACAATGGCCATCAAGTCCCAAGCTGAAATGAAGAAGGATGAGACTGCTGATAATGAGTTGATGATCTTCTTGAAATATTTGCTGTCTGAGGCGCTGGTCGTTGGCGACAAAATCCTGGCAACACAGCTCCAAGCTACCATCAAATGTCTTTCAAATTTCAGGCATTATGAGTTAGTACTTTGTCATTCTGGGATCAAATATGGATGCGGTGAAAAGATTGTGATACTGTCGATGACGGCATTGGTGATAATGATGCGTATGTATTTTGATGATTCTGGTACTTTTGTTGTGGACGTGGTTATATTTGAGGTTAAATATCGATGGCTTTATTCGGCCAACCTTCCTTATAAAATGATGTTGTAGTAAGAAAGTTAAAAGAACATCACTGTAAAACTTATTTCAAAAACTTCCACCTGTATTGTTCAGTTTGAAGAGGGTGTTGAACAGTTTGCGTGCGGATTACAAGTTGCGCTCCTGTTACGTTGCCTACCTGACCAGATGCAAACGATCGTTGCTAGCCTTCAACCATAAATATGAAAAGTTACTCGCCGAACTCACCAGGTCAGTCTGCGATGTTTCATTTCATGCTATTTATATTATTCTTCATGCAACCGACGTCCAAAATCAAAACAAACTCTATCTTTTATGATGGCAGCTATATCAATTCATGCAAATCAGTTGCGAATCTTCCTTGAAACAAATGTAACCTCAGATGGGCATATTGTCCAAAAAATCTATCCACCGCAATTTATTCGGAATTGTTCTGCGTTATGTTATAGAGAATTATTTTTACATACACATCATGCATCATCACATTAATAAATGACTGCTTTTGATGTACCATCCAGGGACCAAGAGATGTTGAACAAGTACATGATATCAATGATGACCAGACTCTTCCTTGAGAAGCATCAGAGGGTCCTGTTGAAGTTTGTCGTCGACTTCCAGAGTTTAGTCCTCTTCGATGAAAAGGTTTTCCATTTAAATTACCAATGTTTTTCCAAAAAAGTTTTTAAACAATTATTAGAAAGTTGGAGGGAATTTTAATTATTTGCATTCAGATGTTATTTAGAGATAGTGCAATTATGTGCATCTTTGTGATTCAGGTTATATGAGTTAATTAATTAATGATGATGTGAATGTTAGATGCATCTAATTACATTGGCGTTTATAATTTTCTGCATACATTAAATACTGTTTTTCTAAATTATATGTTACCATTGTTTCATAGCAGCGTTAGTAATGAATGTGATTGTGAAACGTTTGTAAATATGGTTTTAAAGCGTTAGCCTATGTGGTTATGAAATGTTAACAAATGTGATTATGGAACGTTTAATTTGGATGTTTAATTATCTGCAGTCCGACCTGCTGGAAAGGTTTCTGACGGCTAAGCATGCTGCTATGAGGCAAGATGTCATGTGGAAAGGTGAGTTGGTTGCTGATGATTGCGATTATGATGATGATGTAATGAAGAAAGATGATTTCTTCATTTAACTACTATAATTTTTCTTACTGTTTAAAAAAATGGTCTTTCATTCAATCGTCGAAAAGTTGCAAGTTGTAATGCTCTTGCGATTGAACCACCCAACCTGACAGATGCAACAGAACCGCAACTTCAGGAGGCACGTCTCTGCATGGAGCGGATGATCATGAGTCACATCTACCTCTACGCCATGTACCCGAACGGCGATGGTGACACATCCAGGGACAGGTTTGGTCGACTGATATTAATTAAATATGAATAATGTCCTAACTTTTTTTATATAAAGTTTTAATTTTTTTTTACACTTAAGGAATGCAACTTCTGCATTCTCTTAATTTTAATTCCTAACTTCGGGCTCAGATATTTGTTTGTTAAGTTAAACAAACAGCTGAGTTCGGACGATACAAAATAAGATACTAATTGGCAACGTCCACTCTGCGTTAAAGAGCATACATGAAATTAGATAAATGGAACACGAATTGAATAGGTTGTTGGAGGAGCACATGCAAAAGTTGTCGGCTGTCATCACACCGGATCATCGAGATCTTCGTATTCCTTCCATCTATCAGAATGAATGTCCATGGTTGGCTGCACAGAAAGAACTCATCATGATCAACGCTTTTAAAGTATTTACAATAATTAACTGTGCGAAAATAAAATAATTAAACTAGCAATATTTCACTATTTTACTATTTTTATTTTCGTAAGGTCACTCAATTCTATAAATTGACCCACAGACGCCAGAAGATAAATTGGGATGTGTTGCCCGCTGCTGCTCCACAATCATGACCCTCCTGTCCTTGTCTCTGACATGCAATACAGCCAACGTTTATGCGATAACGTCCAGCAACAAGTCAGTTGCAACAACATCGACTAACAAGGTGAAGCATTCAGCAGTACCGGTTGCCGATGATCTGGTGCCCGTCCTCTTGTACGTCATCATCCAGTCTGGCACTCCTAACCTCCTTTCAACTATCCAGTACATCGAAAGTTACTGTTGCAAGAACAACGACTCTGCTAGTTTTGCCGCTGATGGCTGCTACAAAAACGCGAAGATTGATGGAGAGGTGTGGTACTGGTGGACGCAATTCGTGGCAGCCGTCAACTTCATCAAGAGTATGGACTACAAAGAATAGATGGATTTCTGATTATTTTTTAACCATTTTCATGTCAACAATTATTTAATTCTTCTTATCAGTCATCAATGCACTTAATTATATATGCTCTCGCTTAGTTAAATGTCGTCTGGTTAAATATTTAGTCATTTTTTTTGATAAATTAATTGTTTACGTTATTCCAAATTTCTTGTAATTTATCACGCGATGTACCATAACACGCACGGCATCAAATGCTGGTCATATATTCACTTCATATATGTAAGTAACAGCTTGCGACATTTGTTCATGTTTGTTATTTATTTATTTGTTAAGTTAAATTAAAGTTATTTCACTTTCCTATTCGAGACATTTTTATTGTTGATAAATTTATTTTCAATTGTTGAAATTCTACGTGAACCTTTTAAGCAATACTCAATCATATATTTGAACTTCTTGTGTATGCGAGTCAGAAACTGCTACCACCTTCTTTTGAACAAATTATAAATCTGTTATATACCGTTAATGTTTTTTTAAATTATATGCTCGCTTAGTTTTATTAAGCGCAGAAACAACTTATTTTAACAATAACAAATTAATTTTCTTCTTTATAACTTAATATATGGCTTATTTAATTTTTATTTTGCACGACTCTCTTCTGTCTACGTTCATTCTATGCAAGTTTGGATAAGCAGGTACAAATGTTTGCTCATAAGCAATGAAGACACTTTGTCAACGTGGACGGCTCAATATCTGTTTATTATTTCGTTTTGCAATTTTCACTATCACCTTCGATTCCTACTTATTCTTTCCACTTGACATCACCGCCACTCATCATCCAGCAAGATGTCGTCATCATGGTCACCATGGTCAACTTCATCAAACACAACATCGTTTGCTTCGAACATTTGAAATAGACAACGACACTTATAATTTATATTGTATATTTATTTATATAATTTATATTACAACCAAATTACGTTTTATGGATTTCCGAGTACATTCATATAGTAAATAACTTCGTGTAAATATTATACGATTATATTTTTTTACTTCAATGAATTTCTAATATTTTTCTGAATTATAAAATTCAATTATTTAAATTGTCGACGTTGCAACTGATTCAAAAAGATTGATTCTGCGTGGACTGCTTTCATGACAAACAATTGAATAACTTTGTACAATATTTCCAACTTTTCATGTTCGAGTTTTCGTTTTTTTGAATGTCTTTAAAATATTGTGGATTATATAAGCATTTGGTGTGTAACAAAAGCCATAGCAATGAGCCAAATAATTTATGGCGATCAGGCGGTTCAACCGTCATGGTATGACTTGGTATTTCTTTTTTTAGTAGATTCTATGCGTGTATTCCTGAAGCACAATTAATTGAATTGAGATGTGTACATAAAATTATATCTTGAAGGTTGTAAACAACAAACACGTAAGAATGAAAATATTTTGGTTTCCTCTTAAATGCTAGAAATTCAACTGTGTTGTAACACCGTTCAAAAATGCCTCCCAGTTCCAGCCAGAGGCAAAATGAATATTCTATATTTTTCAGACTAAAATTTGGTTTTCGAAAGTACAGCCTCTAACTTTAATTCCTAATAACGCGACGGTGTTCAGTTGACCAAATGTTTAATTTTATTTGAGCCGTTGTTGACATGCTAACTGGAATCGGAAAGCCTCCAAAAATTAAATTTGGAAACTAATCAACATAATCAAGCCAAATCAATTATTCAGGGAAAACCAGTACATAATAGGTTTTATACGATGCTGACAAACAGTTAGTTCATGGTAACGCTCGGCCATTTGAGGGAGACTTAAAAGCTGACATAGCTAGAAGGCAGTTTGCATAGTTATTTTAATAATAATTTTACAATAGGAACAAATAAAATGTATTTTTTTGTATGAGAATTTCGTATACCGTACAGATAAAAATTGAATTGTCGGCATTACTTAAGCATTCATAAATATTCAAGGAAAATTTTAGACCTAATTTTACTGGTAAAATATACCTTCCATCTGTCAATATTAAAAATAATAATATGGAAGCAATAATAATAGTAAAAACAAAAAAATATTAATATTGGCAATATTAGTCCCATAATTTGATCAGTCCATCCCAACCCGTTGTGACGACTTTGGAAGTTTCGTGTGGATGCCAAAGACAGCTGGAACAGACGCCATCATGCGCTTGAAACTTTGTGTACAACTTTGTTGTCTTCCAATCCCAAATGTACAACTTTCCGTCCCCGTCTCCAGATATTAAGTAACTGTATAAAAATTAAAAAATATCAAAACAATTTCAATATTTCAAAAATGTGAAATATAAAGGTGCTAATATTCAGACGTGATCAAATAACGTTCGGTCGTGCCAATTCATTTTGGATTTGTCGTAAAACTTTTCATAACTACCAAAAAATATTTTCTGTTGACAAACCTCATCTCTGGAGAGAAGTCGACTCCACACGAGTAACCAGCGACCATGTGACCCTTGAAAACTTTCTTCCTCATGAATTTGAATCGGTTGATGGCATTGAATATGACGATCTGATTGTCCATCGACTGACATGCCAACCATTTTCCTATATGGAGACAAAATTATTTAATGAATCGTGCATATGAAACATCTGATCACTATAAAACATTAAGAAATAAATTGAATTTTCACGTAGAAACAAACAGTTTGATAGAGAAATATTGAGAGCGGATGTAAGATAATTCTAACCATTGGGTGATGGAGTGACAGCTGGCATGGAATGCATGGACGGATCAGCTATGTATTTGAAGTCTACCGGAATATTCCTGGTCAAATTTGAATGAAATGAGAGATGCATTAATTCTTTAACCTTCACTTTATATTATTCACTTTATATTACACTTTATATTATTATTATTATTAAATATCCACTCACCATTCCCAAACTCGGAGACTTTTATCATCAGAGGTAGATACAAATCTTCTATTCTGGTCGACGAAAGTGATGGTGTTGACAGCACCCAAATGCCTGTCATACTCCTGAGTTATCTCTCCAGACCTCACATCCCACTGCAATTTTTTATCATTAACAAGAGTTAGTTGAAAAATTGTGGAACTTATCAATCAAATAATATCAACATTCCAATAACATAATATAAAAATAAAAATGATATAAAAGTTGTAAATGGCGTTACAATAAGATAAAAAAATTACCATTTTAAGAAAACCACAATAACAACGACAAAAAAGGATGCAGCAGCAACAACAAATGCAACAATGACATCACAGAATGCAACAACAATACTAACGCAGACGATCTTCTTGTCCTTAGTGCCTGCAACAAAATAGTTCTGCATGTTCTCCTCAGGATGAAATTTTATACAGTAAGGTACCTAATCAAAGTTAATATAAAAATATTCAGTACATGCATAACAGCCCCAAAACTAAAACTACTAATACATTTTCAACTTTCAAAAACGAAACAAAAAATAATTTTTTAAGAATAATTTCGTTTATTATCTAATTTAAAAATGTTCTAAAAGTAGAAAAAAGTAAAAGGTGTAAGGAGTGTAAAAGAATGAATTGCTCACTTTTCCATTAGTGAATCGACTGATGCACTGCCCCGTCTCCGTGTCCCACAGTTTCGAGAACCGATCATAACCACAGCTGAGGAATTTGGTCCCTGAACAATCAAATTAATTACAATTATACTAATCAGCCATCTGAACTTTGAATGGTGAATAATCTGTATCTCTTGCGTGTTGGTTTTGATTAGAAAAAAATGTTCATCTCTTAATTTTACCACAAAAGTCCTCGAAGAGTGAAATTCTATTTGCCAAATGTAATGAAGAAGTAGTAACATTGATGAAAAAAAATTTAAAAAAAATTAATTCATTATTATCATGAACTTTCACCAACCATGATTATCGAAGCAGATATCTCGAACGGCTTCCTTGTGTCCAATGTACGTTCGCACACATCTTCTATTGTTGTACACCTCCCATAACTAAAAATTAAATAGAAAAATCGAATTAGCATCACAAACTGATAACCCATTACATAATATGCCAATCTAGCTATAAACACCTTTAAAAATACCGAATAATTAGACACCGAAAAAATCACTACTCAAAACAGAAAGGTTTTACAACAAATTCACAAAATAAAAGCTACAAACAAAAAATTAGAAAATGAGATGAACTGCTAGTAGTAACCTTGACTTTGGCATCCATACTACAGGTGAGCATGAGATGGGCTGTGTGAGGAAACCACCTGACAGCTGCCACACCTGTATTGTTTTAAAATAATAAATCATATGTTAGATTATATGTTTCTTTCACTCTTTCAATTCAATATTCTGTATCATATATCGTTTACCACATCTATTGCATAAGAGAAAATTGAAAGAATTGACTTCAACCGACCTTTATTATGGCCAGTCCACGTGTAGAGTAATTTCTTTGGTAGAAAGCACTTCTGAGGTGGTTCCCTACTTTTGAGGTTGACTCCGACATCGTGTGGCTCGCACATGAATGTTCGGCCTTGGTAATCACATGCCTCTTTCACTGGCGATGGTCAGTGTGTTAGTGTTTCATTGTTTAATGTCCGTCATTTTTAGTTATAATTATTTTATAAATGTTAAATAACATGATATAATTATTACATTATCAATTACGATCATAAAAGATTTTTTTAAATGGGCATTGGACACAGTTGACAAAATTGTTTGTAGCAAAAAATGTGGCAAATATGTTAAAAAATGTAAAGTTATTTTTTGTATAACACAACACCAACAGTGCAATATTGATTTCTCTTCTGTTGGTTTCAATTCAATCTTCTTCGATCGTTTGTTCTGCTTGCTTAAATATTCATCCAATTCTTTTTTTTCTTCCTACAATTTTAAGCAGCAAATTAACCAATTGCGCAAATTCACAAGAAATAAAATTGCTTATTTTAAATAATAAAATTTTATTTAGTTATTAAGAAAAGGTTCATGCATTACCCAAAAAATACAACCTGTGAAGCTTAGTGAAAAAAAACTTACAAATTACTAAAAATTCCACTAGTAACAAATACAACGTGAAATAACTAATCAGATCTCCTGAAATGAACCGAAATAATCAATATTATACAAACTTCAGTTGGTTTGGCCACAGTAACTTCATCAACGTACTTGCCCCATGGCCCCAGATACCCATCAACATCACTCGGGTCATCATTTCTTAACCTCTTTCGTTTATCACCTTCTCGCTTCTTCGTCGTTTCGTAGACGGTTTTGACTTGAATACAAATTATTAGTATATTTAAAAGAATGTTATATTATTGGATTGTATTTTATCAAGAATAAATGCGATGCAGATTTACTTACAGTTACTTTTCTCTCCCTTCTCGATGTCTCCAATGTGTGAACCTGACGCTGCATCCTCATCGGTTACTGACGGATTGATAGCGTAACCTGAACAAAGAATAAAATGTTGAACATCATGATGTATATATTATATAATGATGTATCTTGCAATATGAATATGCGCACTTTCAAACAATAATTAAAAGCTACATAAAATACATTATGACTTATATTTTTGCAGATATAATTAAGTTGCACGAATGAAAACTTTGAATTATTAAAACAAAAATCACAAAAGGGAAAAACTCAGTATTTGAATAATGACAATGACACAATGTAGCAGGTTACCGAGCTAGTTACCGAGAAAACGAATTTTGAATGAATTATTTATTTATTCAACTTGCGCCATGTTAAGAGTGGCGCTCAATGTTAAGTGAGCGTGAAGCGTTAAATTCGCGCACAAGATGTGAAAAGAACGATTGAATAATTGAACACAACACAAGTTTTTTTCTTGTTTTTATAACAGCTGTAAATTAAGAAAATAATAATGTGTTGAACTAAAAAAGAGGGTTAGCATGTCAAATTAAACTGGTGCATGAACTTTAATTAATTTTAATTAAATAAGTCGATTATCACTTTTATTTTTATTTATTAAATAAAATGTGAGAAGACACAATATTTGTAAAAAATGAGAACAACGTACCATAACTTGTAAATGTGCGTCGTTGATTTTCAAATTGGAAATCATTCACATGGCATTCTTCAACAAAACCGGTCAGCATGTTCCTGTGAGCTTTCATTTGATTAGTTTTGAATGGGTTCTCTGGACCAACCTGTTTAACAAATTTTTTATTTTTAATATAACTAAAAGTAAAACTTGATGTGGTCTAATTGGCGAGATTTTAACAAAGACGAATTAATTAGCAACGTGCCAACATTTAACAATAATTTGTCTAAAATAGCTATACTGCACTGGACAATATTAAAAATAATGTCTGAATATTTTATTCTATATATATATAAAGCCCAACACTTGTTTAGTATAATTATTATTATATTTAAGGGTGTCCATAACATCTCTTAAAAAGGGGACATGTCCTCTTTTTACATTGAATTCTTTTTTACTCTTTCTTTTGTTGCAAATGTTCTCTTTTGTCCTCTTTTTTAATGTCATCCAGAATGAATATATATTCTTATAAATTTTTAAATTAAATGATTTCATTTGTAAAATTTATACTGAAAAATAGAACATAAATTTTGTGATAAGTAAATTTTCTGATTTGGACAAGAGGGTGTCTGCCGCTGAATGCGGTTGGCTATAATTTCTTATTCCTTCAAAACAGTCTGCATTTCAATGTTGAGATTTCTTTTCAAATTTAGAGCTATATATAGTAATACATTTTAGGTTATAAACACTGACGTAGGAAGCTTATTTTACATTTAGACTTATGTAAGTTATTTTCAATGCAAACTATTATTTGAAGCTGTCATATAAACAAAACCAACTTTATTTCTGTCAAAACTAAATATATAAAAACTTTCTTTTGGATACCGGGAATTTCACTGTGTCCTGGCATACCATTCCAAGCCTGACGACAAGGTAAAATAAATGAGCTGCCGTATTCACTTTCAGACAAAGTAATTTTCTAAACTAAAAGAACAGTATTTACCTCAGATGTGATCTTGTGCATCCAATAATCTCAAACAGGAAATTTTCAAAATAAAATTTCAAAATTTACAATTATTTATTTTAATGAAATAAAGCTAAAAAATTACCTCTGGTGCATACAATTCTTCATATTTTGGATTATAAAAGAGAACTTTTGTTTCTGGGTTGATTGGTTTGATGTCTGACAAATTCTGTTGATGAAATGAATAACAAGTTAATCATTTAATACAAATACAAATCTTGCCTTTTTTAGCTATAAAAAATTGGTATTATTAAGACTTAAAATATACATAATAAAAAATATTAAAAAAATCCTTATTAGGATGAATACCTTTTAACCACTTTTTATAAGTTTATCTATTAAATCATCCTAATCAAAAGTTAATTAATTTATTTATATTTATAGTTTTATCATTCATGGTATGACCCAGTTCTTAGACAAAGTCACTATAGCCAGCCTATAGCCTATTAAATTATTTTATTAAAAATAAATAACTTTAATGTTAATGCAATAAAAGCTTGTTGGACTTTAAAAGCAATCATCATCAGTCTGATCAGAATCACACTTCAGATAAAATTAGATCAGGCCATTCAATTAAGGGAAATCCAGATTTTTTTAATATAATATTTAATATTTGATCAAATACATATAATATTTGATCAAATACATATTATGAATAATTATTTATTTGTAATATAATAAGTAGTGTTGATTAAAAACATTAAATTATGAAAAACTGTGTTTTTGTGCAAAGTCAACCAAATACTGCATATGTTAAAAACATTTTAAGGCAGCCATTATATTTTGTGACATTGTCCACATGTGCCCCATTAATTTAATACAATTTTAGATCAAATACATATTATTAATGATATATTAATCATATTATAACAAATTATTTTGATGATGATGATAAGAATATTTTTTCACAAGTTTAGTGAAGAATTTTAAACCTTTGGCTAAAAAAGATTAAGCCAAAGCCTATGTATGTTGTTAATTTTGACCTGAAATCCAGGATTCAAACTAATTGGCTGACTTACAGTTGGCCGACTTGCATGCCAAAGATAATCTATGACTATGAGAACATTATGACAACATCACACAATAGATTGGCTGACTACTAAACTTATAAGTGAATAAATAAATAATCATAAATAGGTAATAAATAAAGATAAACGAATGGATAACCGATGAAGCAACAGGTGGGGCCGAGCAGACGAGTCTCTTAGGCTTTTTGCCTTCGGTATCAGCGGGTGCTTTGAAGTGAAAGTTCACCTCGTCGTTTGGATCGGATTCTGCGCCACTGTCATCGTCGTATCCACTTTTTATTAATTCCAAAGCCATTATAAACGTATTCTAAATTATAACAATAAAATTTCAACTTTGAAAAATATAATTAATTTATTTATTGATTTATTACGACAAAAAATAACGATACCAAACATATATACAGGGGAATTTATAAGCAAAGATAAATAAATTTTGATAAACAGTGAAGGATATAAAAATTTCGTTTATTTAAATGATTTAAATCATACATTAAAATACTTAGATTTAAATAAGCGATTTCGATATTACTGTTGATAATTAACATTTTTAGAATACATACATACAGAAAAAGTCGACAAAGCTTAATGTATGCCTGGTCTAATCATATTTGAGCAAGTAGGGTGAGAAACCATTTAGAATATACGCAATCTGTCTGGTCACTGAATAAAAAAGGAAAAATTGAATAGATCAAGAAAACACAAAAAAGAGCTTTTAAAATCCTAACATCTTGTTCGTATGACATACGAACAAAAGATAAGATACCCGGAGATATGATTGAGGTCTTCAAAATGATTACACAGGCCTATGATAAAGGTGCAATACCTTATCCGGAAATGAATCAATCTTCAACAACTTGAGGCGATGTAGCAAGACTAGTGAAAATGGAATAAAGAGTAGACTATTTTTTGCGAAAGAGTAGAGAGTGATTTGGAACAGCCTCCCGGAAAGTGTAATTAAGACTGGGCAACACACTGAACAATGTAGATCAGTGGGCCAGCACCGTTAACATTTGTAAAAATCATCTTAACTAATTCTGGACGAATCAAGAAATTTTCTACAATAACAAAGCTGATATCCAAAAGAACCGTATGTAGAAGCCATATTTTTTTTATGATACTGAAAGCTTTTGAACTACAAATAATTTTTTTTGTAAATTTGTATATAATGATGTGGGTGTAGAATCTGCCTGACTTGTTCACAGTTTTCCCATTTCCGTTATGTGATAGTCGAGGTGGATACATGGAATTATATGACTATATTATATAACTATATTATATAATTCAATGGGTAGATATCTAGGAGTCGAACCTACTCACTGCCAATCGTTGCCATCTCTATTATAGCATTGTTTAATATATATTTTAGTTATTATAATTATATTATTTAAATATTTGTTCAATTTCAGGTATATCTCTAAAATGTAATCTATATTTACATTTTTAATCGTCAATATTTAATTTTAATTATTTACGTTTTATGGTCTTTGTATATAGGCAGTAATTATTTGTCACTGCGTTATATGCTTCACGTGTTTTTTCCCTATCTTTATATTTTCCCTCGGTGAGGCTTGTTAGAAAAGCTGAGAGGTTTCGCTCGTCTGCGTTCATTCTCGTCACAAGCGCCAACAACATCAACATGGTGGGTTAATAATTATTATCTTACTGCCTTTTTTCTTAGTTTAATTGTGTTAAATTGCGTGCTACTGCTGTACTCTCAAGTTGCGTGCTCGCCTACTGAGCGAGCGATATTACAGGATGGTTTGCTCAAACGAATTTGATGTGACTCAAAATTAAAATTGAATTAAATACTTTTTTTGCAAAACTGCTGATAATAGTGATAATCTTTATTCAACATAAATAAGTGGAGATGTTAAGAATCATTGGTTCTTTAGAGATTCATTTCATAGTTTCATACATAATTCATTTTTAATTTTTTATATTTAATTGAGTTTATTTTATTTTTATCTTTATTTTTTAGTTATAAAAATTTATTATTATTCAAAATGAGGTATGTTTATTATTAAATTTAGAACATAGGCTTTGGTTATCAATCATGCATTATGATTATCATTATATTATGCTGTTATGAGTTATAAACTGCATTTATAATATTATTCCTAGTGCTGTGACTATGAGCATTGCTGTATGAGTAACAGAATTGTACAATAATTGTTTCTACTTTTATTTTTGCTTTATTTTATGGTTGTATCAAAATTTAATATTTAAAATTTATTAAGTAGGTTATTTGGCAAGATTGGAGTTCTCTTTTAATTTCCTAATACATGCTGTCATATTAGGCTTAATTTCTTATTATTTTTATTTTATACTAATGCTTTGAAAGCAGCATAGCTTAGTTTTTCCCTGACTCAACTGTGTTGTTTTATCTTTCTTTTTAATTTTATACAATTTACTCATTTCCTTTTCAATTTTATGAAATTTATTCATTTTCACAGTCAAACGAAGTTAATCCAAAAGCTTATCCACTGGCGGATGCAGCTCTGACCCAGCAAATTTTGGAGGTGGTTCAGCAGGCAGCCAGTTACAAGCAGTTGAGGAAAGGAGCCAATGAAGGTGTTTTTTTTGGAACTTTTGTTATTTCATCTTGGCTCTCTACTTTCATGTTACTGCTGTTCTCTTAGTTACCATTGTTTATATTGCATGAATTGTTGATATAATCATTGAAAAATATAATTATTTATGTTTCTCTGATGGCAGTCATTTTGTATTTTCATTTTTGCTGCATGTTTATAAGATAATTATACATAAATTTTGGCATGTACATTATGATTTACGTCTATTTTGTGTTAAAAAAACTGACAAGTTTTTTTTTGATGCTTTCTAGTCATAGATTTTTAATTTATGTTGGAAAGTTGTTGTGAAAAGGGTTAAAATGTCAATTGTTTATATTTTGTTTTTTTTGGTTTCAAAATGCTAAATTGAAAATATGTAGTTTATATATACATGATTTTCACTTATAATTTTCACCAAATGTTTGCAAACAATTCAGCCACGAAAACCTTGAATCGAGGCATATCGGAGTTTATTGTGATGGCAGCAGATGCAGAACCATTGGAAATCTTGCTTCACCTGCCACTCCTCTGTGAAGATAAGGTTGTTCTTTTCACATTAATTTTTTCCTCTGTTTAATTGATTTTGTTTCATATTCAATTGATTGTCCGGCTTATGTTATATTGCATTTGAATTGTTCTGCATAACGCTTTGTGTTTTTTAAAAAATGTATAATGTGTTGCAACAACTGTTATTTTAATTTAATTTAAATGTTTTTTTCTTAGAATGTGTCGTATGTGTTTGTCAGATCCAAGCAAGGTTAATTTTCTTTTTTCAAGTTGCTATTAAAAATTTAAATAACACATAATACTTGAAATAATTAATTTAAATTATTATTTCATTTCTAAACAGCTCTTGGCCGTGCGTGTGGTGTGTCTCGCCCTGTCATTGCCTGCTCCGTCACCACAAATGAGGGATCGCAGCTGAAAAACCAGATCCAAGCCATTCAACAATCCATTGACAAGCTGCTTATATAAATGCAGCATTTACCACTTTAATTTTTTTATTGACTGACTGTTTGCACACTTGTTTTTAGCATTTTATAGTAAAGGTGTAACAAAATTATAACAAATAAATTCTTAGTAACCTTAATTTTTAGCTGTTCTGCTGCTGCATGTATGGCAATTCTAGCGGTTTGTGAGATTGATGTAATAATATGATAATTTGGGTGTATCTCTACATTTGGGCTTTTGATTTTTATTCAGGTGATTGTGTGAGGAACTACTGATCAGATATCTAGCTTTCATTGTAATTTTTTATGAAAAATTTATATTGAAATATTAATAATTTATAAAGTGCAAGATGCGTTTGCCGTTCTCACTAAAGGCTGATCGTCTCGTCAGACGTTAACATTTGTGTAATTGGTTAAAGATCATGTTTAACGACTTGAGATTAATCCTCTGAACCAGTTTTTCACATTTTTTCTTGCTCCACACGCCCCATCAACTCGGTCCAAAAATATCTATCCCCGCAAATCATACGTGACCTTCATTTTCATGAAATATTCACATTTTTTGCCCTATATACGAATCCCATTTTTTCGCATTGTTTTTTTTTCACTGTTTATACTAACTTGCACCTTCACATTGACCTGTAAAGCCACCGCCGAAAAGGAAATTGAGCCGACGATATGAAACACTTCTGAACGCCGCCCATTGATAACGGACGAAGTAATACGTAATAATTAACAAACGTTGCCTGCCTTGTGTAAAAAGTAACTTATTGCATAACACGCGTTTCATTCATATTCTGAAAATGATATAAAAATGTGAGAAATGACGATGTGTACATGTACTATAGTAATTGAAAAAATCACGATTTAATGTTCGTTAAAAATTCTGACGTATCATTGGAACCGACAATATGCTCATTTTGTTCACTGACTACGCTTATGTTAGTCTCGTCTTTTGCTTCCCTTCTCTTTTTTGGTACAGTCGTATTTTGATTCTGTCCGATCTTGTTGAGTCTCTCGGCCGCCACACTTTCCATTGTCTTCCTCATGACGGGGTAGTGGTCCAAGACGCTGTTGAAATGCTCAACGGACAGCGAGAACAGGCTGCAATAGGTTTCCGCTCTGACGCTAGCCACTCGTTTTGCATTTCTTAGAAGGCATATTTCTGTGTTAGTAAACAAATTAAATCATTTGTTCAATTGTTCTAACAAATTCGTTAATATACATCGTAAGCCAAGTTTGCAGCTGGTCGGTGTAAACTGAAGCAGATGAGAATGATCCGTAAGATAAGTTAATTTGTACCCAAGGGCGAAAAAATTAACAAGCTCTTCAATCTTGTAATGTCGGTATGTTTTCAATATGGTTTAAGGCTTATGTCTTGGAGCGTATGCTATGTGAATTAAAAACGTTGAAGCTAAATTGGCTAAAAAATATTTTAGAATAACAGAATTTCTTAAAATATATTGGACACTTAAAAAACAGACTTACATGCACTTAAATTTGTATTGAAGAAAAAAATCAGTCGTTTTATCTTGTGCTTGTTGAAATGTACAAAGACCAACCTCCAAAATATGAACCATCGGACAGACTGGTGGCCACTTGGCTGTCCTTTATGATGATGTCCACAACTCCTTCCTGAATGAAGTACATCTTCGTTCCCATGGTTCCTTCACGTATTATGTAATCTCCGGGCTGGAACACTTCATATCTAAAAATGTGTTTCAGAAAATCATGACTTCTTGTTTCAAAGAATTGTGAAATTTCATTTGAAACAAATTGCACGATTCAACAAATAAACACATTCGTTGTTAGCCGGCTCAATCAACTGTGCGATAAAGTTTTTTTTAAATTGTACCTCAGTTTTGAGACTACTTCATTAACGAAATTGGGATCGGCGTTCATGAAAAAAGGAACCGAGGCCACAAGTGCTCTGCAGTTGAAGTTTACAATTTCCTGCGAATAAGAAACCACATCTATTTTATCGTTAGAGACTAATAGCGTAGCCATCACGAGCAATAATTGTAAGTGATATAATAATAATTTTATTCAGTTAATTCGAAAACATTATGATTATTTTAAAGAGCGTTGCACGTGAAACATTGTTTAAATCAAAGTTGTCGGCTACGAATGTTTTCAACAACAAATGAAGAAAATGATCGATTAAAAACATAAACAGTACAAAACCTCTTTGAGGCATCCATTGAGTTCATCGAGTATGTTGATCTCATCAAACATCTTACCCTGGTATCTGTGCTGATAATAATCCGTTATCCGTTTGCGCATGTCACGAGGTAACTTCCTGTACAGCATGTACTCCTCCACCTGTTTTAGCTGTTTTGAGATGTGTTTGTTTCGTCATCCGTGTGGTCATTATATGGAGAGTGAATAAAAAGTTGATGTTGCACTTTAATGACATTGAGAGTGTTAACGACACACACAAGAATTTACACTGCCATCGAAAATTTCATTATATTCAAGTCCATTGAACAGAATCATGCTATCATTGAATTGGACGTCAAACATGAATGATAGCTAATGCGATATGTCGAGTTTGAACAACTGACAACTGTCAATCACTTTTTCTCTATAGAGTCTTTTGGACGTATCGAATGACTGGATGAGGGTTGTTGTATGTCCGACTATCAGAGCGTAACATATTGCTCCAGACACCATGCTCACCTTTAAAAAGGTATGTTGTTATGTTTTTCATATTTGAAATTTCTTGGAGAATAAAATATACATTTTGTTTATCCGTCCTAAAAATAAATTATTTGATTTTCATTATAAAGCTTGAAAACTTAGTATGTGACCATTTTTAATTGATTAAACGGATGGCTTAGATCAGGAGTGGGCAAACTTTTTGCTGTGACGGCCGCATTGAGAAATATTTTACCTTTGAAGGGCCGCATAAGTACTTAAATAGCAAATATTTTCGATCGGGGGGAAATTTTTAAGATTTGTGGCTCTTTTTTTTGGGTCATAATATCTGGCTGCTGACGACACGACCTTTTTTTTGCGAACAAGGTTCGCAAGCCGCAGTTTGCCCACCCTTGACTTAGATAAAACAATATTGCGCAGGTTTCGCACGTACGCACCGCATGTACAAACTGCGTCTTCACAAAATGACGAATTGGCTATTGAACGATACAAGAATAACGTTATACAATATCCGAGTGTTTGATCAATGGCTTGCCATCATTTTATTCCATCATCATTATCGTTTTGAATAAACTAAGCATCGCCCTCTCCATCAGCACTGAACACAACATAAAAAATAAGATGTGTCGTCAAATGATGTCGACCATTTTATATCTGTATAATTGTGTGGTGGTTGTTACATACGCACAATCTCACTCAATCTAACTTACGATAGTTAGCCAGACATCCATGAGACTCTGTGGAGCGTATCTGCCGTAGCCAATACTCAGCATGTGGGAGAGGGCCTTGAACAGTGACCACGTGTATTGTTCCGTCCAGTGAGCTTTCTTCATGTAGGTGTCATTTGATTTTTAATGACAGGAGTTTTATATGAAAAAATGCAGTACGACTTAAACAACCAAATATTTTAAATTAACATTTATTAAAATGTTATGTCAAATTACATCACATCACTCTGCTAATAACATCGTAATTTTTCCTTGTTTTAACATTCTCAAAATGATGTTATATAATCAGAAAATTAACATCATCGTCACGATCAACATCTCCCTAGCGCCATGGTCATCAGAGCATTGAAACTGACTTGCAAGTCATTGATGGCGACCCAGGTGTCAGGTGGGAAATCGTTGAGCATGGGTACGAGGAACTGCAGGCATCCATTCCAGTGTCCGATCAACAGCATCATGAAGATCAGGTTGAATATACGCATGAACATGCTTGCTATGCTTAAAAACTTCATACAGTTTGCATTTCATCATTTTTTAGTAGATTACACATAAAGAACGTTTTGAACGCATTTGAAAACTTTGTTGTTACGCTTTGTTTCCACAATAAAAAAAAATGTTGTAAGTTTGATAAATTATAATTTTTACTTATTGCGCATTTTTTCTTTGCTTATGTTTGCATAAGCGGATGTTTGTCTTTTAGGTCTTTTAGTCTGAGCGTTATTTTGTTCCCATATTTCAATCTATTTATGCTTACATAACATTTAGAAAAAAGTTGAAGTCGAAAATTTTTTTTGTTTCAAAACATAAAAGGCACTTACTTGGCCTATGTCCTGTAATAATGAATATTTTGAAATTAAATAGTTACTATCAAATTAATTTATAGTTCATCAACACAGAAAATAATGCAAAATTTTAACAATCATCAATTAAACAACATCCTATTGTAATAAATGATGATATAGAGTGTCATAGAAATGACAATACGAAACATCATAACATATGATCGAACACAGTTTTATAATAAATGATGGTACATTCAACGTTCAATTAAATGATAATACACCGCACCATAATAAACGATGATACACCACACCCAAACGAATGATGATTAACAACGGGACGGGATGGGACCCACCTCTTCCCACTGCCTCACATATCTCACCAGCCTCGACAACCTCAACAAACGCAACAGGCTTAATAGTTTTATCAGACGAAAAATTCTTAGAGCTCTACCTGTCATAGTTTCAAAAAAACCAAATTAAAAACATGAATTTTTTAAAATTGTAATAGTTTCATTCAATCTTCTACGCATAATCAATAAACTGTGTGTGTATTAAAAATAATTTTGCGATGTTTGGTTTTAATTTTTTGTCATAAATCCGGCTAATTAGCAGACGCTCGGTTCAGTTGAAGAACATCTTTCAAATTATTTCCACGTATTTGTGCAAAACTTCTACAACGAATCACTTTGTAAGTTTGAAGGGAGATAAGAAGCATCAAAGCCAACAAGCACTAAGTATAACAAGTAGTCTTCTCCGTGTAGATCTAATGAGTGCACACACATTTGTGTCCTTGTTCGAACGCGCGTGTTTTTCAAAAGATTTCCATTTTTATTTCTTTCGTTTCCATAATTTTTTATATTTATAATCCTGATTACCCTAAAAGCAAAACCACAAGACTACATGTAGATATAAAAATCTACTTTCAAATAGACTGGCATGTATCATTAGATCGATCCTCATCTAAAACAGGTCAGTGCAAATTTGTTAGAAAAGAAAGTCATTGTACATCCTTTTTGCTAAAATATAATCCTATTTAAAAAATAATCAAAACGAGAGAGAAGAGAGAGAGAGAGAGAGAAAGAGAGAGTGAGAAAGAGAGAGAGAGAAAGAGAGAGAGAGAAAGCAAAAAGAGTTAGAAAATAAAGAGCGAATGGCAGAAAACAATTAAAATAGATTTATATACTTCCCCTCCTGCAGCACATCATCGTTGCATTCCATGTTAAAAAAGATGCTCACAAGTTTGTCCAGTGAGCGCAAATTTGATATTGAAATAAAAACAGTACTTAATTTTTTTAAATTAACAATTGTAAATATGATTGAAACTTGTAATTTGCTGTCAAAAAATAAATTTGAATTTCATCGACCGTATTTCAAGCTTTTTAAAACCGGTATAAACAAGTTTTGTTGGAAAATAAATTAGAATTCACACAGTAAAAAATAATTTAATATAATTATTCAAGTTAGTGTTGATTTATATTTTCATTGGCTAAACTGTGGCGCTGACGTTTTCATGGTATTAAAGGACGAGCTTGTTGGAGGGTGGCAAAAATTATTAAGTGTGTTACTTTCATAAATTTTTGTAAAAACTGGGATCAAGATTTGTTTGCAGTTGAAAATTTTCATCGTGGCTTTCAATAAATTTTTATACGCAAAGTGAAAACTTTTAAAAATAACAAATTTAGTCTGATGGTGAATTGTTCAGCACAAATTCATCAACATGGGAGATGTTTTACAAAAATTTTCTGATGCCAAAATGCAGGTTTATTTCCATTTTAAATAATTGAAGGGAAAAAGAACGCAAAATAACTGATCTCATATTTTTCCAGGTTTTGAAGTTTTGAGGCAACCTCAAAAAACATGATTGCCCTACTTGGAGAAACAACAATGCTTATTTAATTTGATGAATCTTTCATATTTTTTAGGAACTTTTTTGCACTTTGAAGTTTCAAAATTCCATTTATAATCTTAAAAGTCAAAATTAATCAATCGGACTTAAATAGATAATTTTGAGAGCACTATTTGAAACACTAAGAAATAAATTATTTGTAATCTTGAAACACCGTCGAATATATAAACGTTTGCTTGTATGTGCTTGTATAATTTGTTTGTATATAACTCTATGCTGTCTATATGTCTTTGAAGATATATTTATAAATGCTTGAACGTTTCCATAAATACAACTTCATGCATAAGAGTGTGCTTGCAAATAAGATGATGGCATGCATGTCCACTGGATTGTTTTATATGTTTTGCATATGATTATGTTTGTTTATGTTCATGTGTGTGTGTTTGTGTGTGCATGCGTGTGCGTATATTTCTGCAAACGTGCTTGCCTCTCTGTGTATGTGTGGTGAGTGTGTGGTGAATATGTGGCTTCATCTAATTTTCTTATTTTAATATCACCATGGCTGGTCATTAAAGCTTCCAATTTTGTTTTATCGACAGACCTGATGAAATTAACAAATAGTCTCTTATGATATGCCATACAAGTTGTTCTATAATTTCACATTTTTAAAACACCACATCTACGTACAGTTACATAAAAGTTCACTACAAACACACACATATACACAGCACACACACACAGACACAGACACACACCACACACACAGACACACACACACACACACACACATATACGCACACACATATACACATATTTGTATATCACATTTATTCATTTATTTACAACGTCACAGATTTGCGTTCAAGTGAATACAAATCTTGACTTAAGCAATCTTTTAAGGCCAGTTAACGTTCGTTTAATGACTATATAACATAGGTCTGTCATCCAAGCAATTACTCCATCATTAACTACACAACATGTCCTCTCTTATTTACTCCACTTGTGAGTTTCTCTGCTCTTCTTTGCTTATTTTTAGAATTTTTTGTTTGCACTACAGGCGTTGAAATTTGTATTTTGCAATGTTGGTTCTATATTTTGAATTTTGTTTTATATTTCCAAGCAATTTAACAAGATTAATATACCCTAATCTTGAACAATCAAACTCAACGCGTGTGTTTAACGTAGCGAGGGTTGTAAAGTTTCTTCTTAATATGTGCCTACATTATGTGATTGTATGTTCCAAAATGTGTACATAGTTTTAGTTAAATTATTTCACTGGAAGTTCTCAAAAAGAAGGCAATAATTCGAAACTGGAAACAACGTGGCCAATGAAGCTGAAATGACGTAACGATGGACGGCGTCGTAAATGAAATGACCAAATCAGATGACATCAACATTAAAATGCCAACCAACCAGCGTGAGCCAGCTGTGTGATTGTAGACTCCGGACTGAAGACGACGATGATGTAATCCATGGGTAGGGAGCTGATGAAGTCTAGGAGGAACCACGTCTTCATGTACCTCTCCGCTATTTTGCGTGGCTCCAGGATTATTTCGTCCGCAAAGTTGTCCACGATGATTCCTGGGTGAAGGTGGGTGAAAGTTTATGGAGTTTGTCTGAAAGTTTATTTTTCGAAGCAAATGACTTTTCGCAGCAAAACTAAAATAGCAAAAATGTAGCGTTGTTCAGTAAAGTGTATAAGATACTGTCATTTGTAAATTATTTAAAAAAAAATTCAGTTTTCATTCAACGAAATCAGCTAATTAAATTTTGCACAAGACTTGGTTCAATGAATCAAAAACTTTTATCTTTTTTCAAAACATTTTAACTTTCACCAGTGGCGGATCTAGATTTAGACAAGATTCTGAAAAATATTTGACAACCGAGGAAAATTTTCTATAAAAGTTGACGACCGGGGAGGAATTTTGAAACAAAAAAGTAGATGACCGCCGGACTGGGTGAGAAATTTGAAATTTACACAAAATTTGGTGACCGGGGGGTGGGAATTTGTTTAAAAAATTTTCCTGTGCTCACGGTTGGCCCTATTTTGAACGGGGGCAAATCTTCTGTTGATGGTCTTATAATGTCAACGCATATAACAACAATAACAAGAAGTTTTCATATTTCAACAATTTATCTTTTACTATTAACAGTAGTGCAAATATAAAAACAAGAATTATTTTGCATTCCTGGCATTAAACCTCGTGACATTGAGTTTATTTATTTCGTTTATCGGTAATTAATGTTTGCCCTTCTTACTACAAAGCCGTTCATCTCGGCCGTGCGATGCATATCTATTTGGAGAGAAGAAAGTAAAGCATTTTGCGGGAGTCTGTTCAAACTGCGAAACGACAATTTAAAACGGAAACCTAAACAAATACTGCGATGTTAGTAACTATTACTTATTTTTTCTATTTATTTATATTTAAGATAAATATTATTTAATGCATATTTTTGCAATTTTGTTGTTTGGAAAGGACACATGAAAAATTATTGCCGGTAGTTGTATACAATAAAACAAAGTTCAACGAAATCGGAGATAAAATAAAAAAAAACTTAATTTTCAAATTTAACTTAAAACGCTACAAAATACAGGACACTGCCACATTAAATAGTTAATTTTGCCAGATTTTTCTCTTTGTAACAGGGTTTCACAACTTTGGTAAAAAAATTGTTCATACCTTAAGATTGTTTTATCAACATTATAAATCAACCATCTATTCACCTTATATTTCATGGTTGTATACAGTGTTTTCCCATTGTTGTATACCGTTTATAACCAACAATTTCCTCTTTCACCCTAAGTCCCCCTCCAGAATGAAGTGCCCCACGTTGGACAGCCCTGCTATATGTACAGTAAACGACACTCTCCAAATATTCATATTTTGACTAATTCCATTCACTTGAATATATTTTTGATTAAAAATATTTGTTTTATATTTTCAAATGACAAAAAATGAGAAATATTGTTCAATACAGTGACAGAAATGTTTAAAAATTGACGGCAGTCGTGTTTTCTGTACGCTTGATTAACTGGCAAACAGCAAAGTACTAAACATCGATGAAACCCGTCCTCGTCACCTCCATCATCGTTTAATGGTGGCACTTATACTGCTTATGATTTACTGAAAAATTTGATAAGTCCACTATCTCAAAAGTAGTCAGAGCACATTTGCCGTGTTTACAATTTCACTCATTAGACCACATTACATCGCTTTACATCAAAACGTATCCCATCACATCACATTACATCATATCCTATCACATCACATCACATCAAGTCATCTGATATCAAAACAAACACCACAAAATATTACACACCAGATATCCCATCTCATCACGCTGCACTACAGTACATGAGCCATATTCATTCTGCCTCTCAACTCCTATAACTTCGGAAATTTACAATGCGCTCTTGCTCGCGTACTTATCGGATGTACTAAAATGCTAATAGGTTTGTAAACTGAAACATTCGAAGATATGTGTTTATTTTATAGGTACATATGACCTTGGCATAATGTTTACAGTTCATCATTCCGTGTTTATGTGTTTATAGGTACATATAATCATAGAATAATGTTAACAATTCATCACTCTGATTTAGGAACTTTATGTAAACGCGTAATGATTCCAAGATAATTTCAATTCCCTCCCATTAACACCTGCGTTGGGCCGCTAACACGTACGTCGTACGTAGGTGGCGTGGTGAATAGCGTGGGATGTTATTTTAGTTGCTTGGAATGGATGGAATGATGTTGCGATGTTTGCATGTGCTCATGTGATTTTTTTTGTGGGCGCGTGTCTCTATTGCTTTGTAAACAGTTCAAGAATGAGAAGAATCAAAATTATTCAATAATTTCTTCTAGAGACATCTGCGTATTTGAAAATGTTTGTCAGCATTTATCTTTGTATTGATAATTGAAGCAATGTAGTGCATATGAATTTGTTGGTGATTAACTTTAAACAAATTTAAAATAAAACTTACTTTTTCATACAGTAACTATTTACGAAATTGAATTTGAAATGAAGCTGGTTTATGTTAACGCGCAAAATTAATTATTCGCAAAGAAACCGCATTGAAAATATAAGTCCACAAAGATGAATCTGGCTTGAGTAACGATCTGAGATTGACAATCAAACAAAAAACCACGAAATTTATTAAGTATTTTTTCGATCTTTGAAACATTTTGTTACCTTGATTAGAACAAATAACAAATGAAGGGAAATGAGTTTTTTAAATTATGAATTTTTTAAATTATGAAAATTTCTCGTTTTGAATTTTAAAATAAGAGTCTTATGTATATTTAATGTATTTTTATTTGCTAAAGCTTACTAAAATGTTTTCGATAAATCAAACTTGTTTAAAATTGTTTTCTTACAATTAAAACAATGTCAAATTTCACATCAATTTGTCGAATTCTTAATATGTCCGCTAAATCATACCTAGGATTTGTATGTTTCAAAACACTATTAATTCTGTGTTGTGAACATTTCAATGTATATTCAATAAAAAAATAGATCTCTATAATGTAATGGATGAGAAGGAAAACATGAAAAAAGCTTCGTTTATTTTATTTAGGGTCTCGGGAGAATGATCTTTCCTTCGCAATGTAGATAGCACAGATCAAATAATTAGCCTCACATCAATGTATCATCAACCACGGGACAGAAAAGAAGAAAAAGAAATATTAATTATCTCAGTGATAAGGAGCTGTCCGATTGAAAGCTGGCAAATGAAAGTTTCAAGAAAAGTTGCAATAAATGTTGAACAACTTGGGTTTGTCTAATCTCATCATCAGTCGCCGATAATCTACTTCATGCGCTCCGCTTTTGTTCATGAAGATTTATCAAATTTCTTTTAAGTTATGTTGTGACTGTGACAGTCTATAAAAATACAGAAGAAAGACAGACACGCACACATTATTATAACCAGCATCATTACCAAGACCATCACGCCTATTACTATCATCGTCATTATTACAATCGCAATCATCATCACCGTCATCATCTTCATCACCGTCATCATTATCATCACCGTCATCATCATCACTACCATAATCATGTTATAGTCACGTGATACCTGTCCTAAAGTTGATGAGGAGGTCCAAGAGGAACATGACGTCACTGACTCCATTGAAGACCACCCACCTCGTGCTCAGATCATCGTTGAAGAAACAGATGGCCACCGGAAGTATGATGAGGTTGCCTAGCAACAACACCAACATGAACGAGTCCCAGTAGAATCTGCGTGTGTATAATTTGTGTGTGTGTGTGTGAATGTGTGTTTGTATGTTTGTATGTGTGTGAATGTTATGTGTTTATGTTCGTTTAAGTAGGTATCTATGTATACGTGACCTAAAATATATGATGGAGAGTATATACGTAGCTAGTTTTATATACATAATATACATACAATCTCTACACATGGATATTCTGAATATTGTAACTGGATGGCTGCCTGGAAAAAAATTATCAAATAAGCGCTTCTGGTCAAGTGGATGAATCAATGAATTAATGAATTAATTAATTAATTAATTGACCAATTGGTTGTTTGTCTGCATTCATTCACACAACAATTAATCTTTCATCAGATGCATGCAGATTGATAGATGTTAAACAAACAAAACATGCAAGTAAAAAACATAAAAAAAACATCAGGTGTTCAGGCGAAATATGATTTTAAAAATGTTAAAAACTTTCACAAAGCAGTGTAACAAAACAATTTGACGGCTTGATGATAACGATAATTGTATGTGGAGCTGTGGGGAGAAGATTTGCAGACGTGCAGATGTGAGCGATATAAAGGCATCAGCTGCATGTATTAAGTTTATTCAATTTTTAGACTTTTTCCAATAACGTGCAAGTCTTAATTAATATAATCTTAAAAATTAATCTTACATACACCCACACACACACACACACACACACACACACACACACACACACAAACAAACACACTTTTTTTTACACGTATGTATGTATTTTTACACACAGATCCATGCATCCTTCCTTCATACCTTACACTCAAGTTACAAATACGATTCCTTCACGCACACACGCACGCACGTGGGTGGGTGTTCGTCTGTTCGCAGAATAAATGAATAACAACCGCAAAAATTGCATAAAAACGAAAACAATGTTTCTCATTCCATGATTAAAAGTAAACAGAGAAAGATTAAAAATGAAACAATGATAGTTGACTTAACTTATGTGCGGCACTGTAGTATCACCACGGCCCATCTCTAACACATTCTCGCTGATTTAATGCCCACTACAGACCAACAATGGCAAGCTATCAAATCAACAATAAAAAAGTTTCTTTTTTGTGGTTTTACCAACCAGCTTCTTGCTAATGATACTTTTATATCAATATTTTTACGTGTTAAATAAGCTACTTTAAAAAAATCCAATTAAAATATGAAATATAAAAATTTAATTATCATAATGAAAACCTAAGCAAAGTAAAATAGAGAGTCGATATATTGACCGCGTGCCAGCGGGACATCCACTCCACACCTCCATCCAATCCAAACGACGCACAACATTATCATTCTTTTGTCATATTTAAAAAAATAGTTTGCCTATTGTACATTAAATTTGTATTATCAAGGATATCTCTTGCTGTGGTGCGCGTGCACTTGAGTTCTGTTTGACATTCGTTTATTTTTGGCGGGAAAATTGATTTCTTCCCAGCCAATGTCAACAAAAAACGCAGAATCAATTTGTTTATTTGTTTGCGCTTCTGCCTATTCGTTCGTTCGTTTTGTTTTGTTTGAAGCGAGGTTACGTTGTAAGCTGTCATCGAAACGACGCCATTTTTGGAGAAAGTTTCTGTTGAATATTTCTGAAGTTTTGAGTAAAATCTGTAAACTTTAAAACCTAATGTCTCATGAACATGAACGAAACAATTTGGTAATGAATCTTGCAAAATATTCCAACATTCATTAGTAAAATATTTTTTATGCTACTTCGAATAATTTACCATCGTTAATTTTTAACGTTCCTGATATTTTATACTGAAATAAAAAATTAATTCGAATGATTTTGTTTTGTTGAACTTGACACACGAAAAATTGAGCTCTGTTTCTATGCAGAGATATTATTATATTATTATTCCAATTTTTTTATAATAATAATTTTTTATGTGGAAAAAAATTTATTATTGAAAAAAAAATGCACGAGCCATTGTAAATCTTTCGAGCAAGTAGGTAATAATCAATCCTGTATATAAAAAATAAACATATTCTCATCAATGACGAACTAAGAAAATTTTAATGGTTAGAGAAAATATTTTAAATTATTATTTTATTATTTCTTTAACAATTTTAAATTATTTTTTCAACAACTTTTGCCCTCTACAAAAACGTGGTGAACTACAAAAGCGCACCCATTTTAATGTCCATACAAACATCTTAAACGTTTCGTACCTTTGTATTTTTATTACATTTTCCCCTTAAAAGATAGAAATGCATTTTTCCGTTCCTTCTCACTGCACCTTCACACGTACACAGACGACAACACAAATCAACTCACAACACAAACACCAGCTAAATTTTTTCAAATGATTTAATTACATATTTATGTTTAATATGAAAGTTGCACGTGCGTGCCTGTATGTGTATTTAACATGTTTTAACACGTGTATGCCGTTAAAGAATGTTAGTAAAAGACATTTCATGCATAAAAACAATCAACTGCTCATTATATTTTATTTGTTGCATCCATCCTATTGATTATGCTCGCAAAATTGTCGGTTTAAGGATTAATTGGTGCTATTTGTTTTGTTGTTGCTCTGCAAATGCATTCCAGTTCTTATTATCAGTTGCATCAATTATTGTACCTATTTCAATTACACCTTCATCATGGAATTAATGTTTTTGCGAATATTTCAAAAAAATGCTCCTCTTAATTATTCAGTAATAAAAATATAATTGTAATAATTGTAGACAGAAATTGATACTTTTAACTGCACGAACAAGAAATTATTTGAAGATTGTAAACAAATGTAAATGATATGTTGTTGCAAGCTGAATCTATAAACACAACTTAATGCAAATGTATGATATGTAAATAGACTAATTATTTGATTATTAGGAGAACGCGCAAGTAATGATTGAATGATTATATTTATACACGAGCATATGTTGTCTTGTTCGAATGCTGTCTCGCTATAAGTTCCGAAACCCCCACAAACATTTATTTTCTCCAACGTTCCAAATCAACCTGTTCTTCTTTTTCATCGTTGCCTGTTATCATCATTGGCATCATAATTATCAATATAATAATAATAATAATAATAATAATAATCATCATCTTCATCATCGTCGTCGTCGTAACAACCACTAACATTATCATCATCATCATCAATGAAACCAACATAATTGTCATCACCATCATCATCGAAATGTTAATTTTTAAAATTTTTTCCATAGCGAAACCTTCATAATTTTTCATTCACCATTTCAAAAACACCAGAACAGCGGGGGTAAGTTGAAATTTTTTGAAATCGAAACGAGGAAAAATGTCGTCGGCTGCTGACATGTTGTCTGTTGATTGATTTATGATGCCTTCAACGTTTCATGCACGTGCATTCGAGCAGAGTTAATGAACATCACTCATTCTTAAGGAGTTCATTATAAATTGGTGTTTTCAAATCACATAACACAGTCCACATAGGTGTTTATTGTTGGAAATATTTTATTTTAAAATTTCAATAAACTTTCCATCTAAACATCACTACTTGCAATAAATATTAAATGCTGAAACTCGATGCAAATTAATGAATGATTGAACTCCACTGTACACACAGTAGGCAAAATAATTTTCATTGTAATTTTTAAAATGTACAGAACCTATGCTAATGTTAATGACGGTAAAAAAAAAGTTATTCGCAACTTTGAACAAGACACATGTTCGCATGTGAACAAATGCGTGTCGTAAACATGGGAGGCATGTGTTCGTCTTCATGTTCACGCACTCCTCGTAAACATGGTGGAAATGTGTTCCTGTTCATGCACTCCTCTTAAAAATAGTAGGCATGTGTTCATATTCATGTTTATGTGCTCCTCAGTGCCTCGGCACCAGTTCAAGCGAGAATTATGAGTGGGTGTGCTTTTTCATAATGAAAAATTTTTATTGCATTGTTTTGTTCATGCAGAATATTACATGGTGTCATGTGAATCTTTGCAAAACACAGTTCAGTAAAAACAATAAACTTCAAAAAGGTGGGTAACAATAGCAGTGGAAGCAAAAACAAAAACAAAGATTTTAAAAAATAACGTTTAACTGTTGAACACCATAACGACAACTGACTTTAGCGCAGTAAAAAAATTAAAAACATTATAAAAAAATACTTTAAAATTGCTGTTAAAAAAGGAAATGAATGAGTACAAGTGCAATGTCTTGCTCTGTTGCCAGTTAGCTGTGTTGGAATGCGGCTTGCGCAAATTTGAAAAACTATCAAATAAATGGTGCGTGTGACATTTAAACACTGTATTTTATGCCCGTTGCAAACACACACACACACACACACATAATACATACGCACGCACACACACACCACACCACACAACTCTCCCGACTGACCTGAAGTTGCTGCAGGGATGGATGACCAAAGAACCAGCTGCTTTTTGACGAAGTTTCTCTCGATTCAATGCATTTTGATTGCCAAACAATTTCATGGCCAACTTGTTGTTATCTGATGGCTGGAAGAAGGAAACTAAATGTTCCCGTAGGAAGTTGCTGTTAGGATGTTTCAATGGACTATTCGGGCCAGCTTTTGGCTCACATTGGCTCTTCATCGATGGACTCATGTTCAAAAAGTTGAAGTCCTCTTTAAAGATCTTGGCTTTTTCACTAGATTCAAATCTCTTTTCATTGAATGGTTTGTGAAGCATATCGAAATCTTTACTCTGTGAGCCGAATTTTGAATGATTAGACAAAATGTCGTTGCTATGAACGTGGTCGAGCGAGCTTGTTATGATGTCGTTTTGCAATCGTTGCTGCTGTTGTTGCGTGGTTGTATAATTAGTAGCATCAATATTGCAGAGTCTGTTGCACGATGAAATGTTTCTGTTTGAATCTTCTTTATCAATAATGACCTCGATGCCACTGAGTTCTGAATCACTGTTTACTTTATTGTCAGCTTCCTCCATGTTAACAGTCCTGTATCTTATCTTCCCACTGCTGCTTATTCTGCTCGAAGCACGTCGTTGCTGATCTTTCAACAACTTCTTTTTAAGACCTCCAGTTCCAAAATTAAGCAGCGAAGAAATGGTTTTGTTTGTTTCTTTAAGACTTGATGTTTTGAAGTTGTTGTGGCTGCTGGGCATCCTAGGGCTTGCAGGGTTTCTGATGTTGTCGTTTTTGTTTAGTGAGCCAAGATTATTTTTTGATCCAGAAGATGAAAAATAAGTCATTTGGTAGGCCGAGAGACAGAGATAGTCATCAACGGGACTGTCACACTTTTGTAGCAAGTAAGAGGTTCTGCTGGTGAGATTACTGAGCAGCTGGTCATCGAGACGCTTCTGAAGAAATAAATTGTCGATCGAGTTCTCATTTTTTGAAAGAGCTTCTAGTTTTCTCTTACACATCAAACAAATTTCGTTATTGTTCACGTTTGTTGTACAACTGCCTATTAATTCATTCATGCTAGATTCGATTTTGCAATAATTATGATTAATTAAAAAAGAACATTTGCTTGAATGGTGACCACATCGCTGATCACGATCAGGCTGCAACGCAGAAGACATGGACAGCTCTTTTTCCTTGCAGACGTCGATGTCGTTGGTCGGTTGGTATAAAGTTTCATCAACTCCGTAATTTTTAACGTCCTCACAACTCTGCTCATCAGAGCAACAGTTTAACGATTTTGCACGTAAATAATCGTTCTTTATGTAACAATGCTCATCGTTATTTTCTGATTGTTGCTGCTGCAGCTGTTGTTGTTGCGGTAATTTTTGGTGTTTAGAAAACCCAAGGATATTATTCATAATTAAGTCATTTTCGTATTGCTTCTTTAAATTGCTACAGGGGTAGACGTTTTCATCATTTGCACAAAGTTTCGATGGTTGCAGATTGCTGGCTTGGTCGGGGCCAGCGCTGATTTTTGAAGTGGAGTAGGTTGTGTGAGAATTCGCAGGCAGGTCTTCTATATTCGAAGTGAAATGAGTTGAAGTTTTAAAATTATTAAATGTTGTTGTCGTTGTTGTTGCTGTTGTTGTTGGTGTTGTTGATGTTGCTGCTGCTGTTGTTACAGTTGGTGTCGTTACGTGACAGATTGATGTGGATGATTTTGTAATTGGCGGGGTTTGTAATGTCGACGTTGTTGGTGTGTTTGGAGCATGCGTCGAAACAGTGTCGGATATTTTAAGAGGAAATGCAGGAGGTAGAGCTGTTGAATGTGTATATGACAGTGATGTTGTTGAATGTGCTGTTGTTGTTGATGTCCTTAATGACATTGATGTCATAACTTCACAAGATTTTGATGTTTGGAAGGCAAACTTGTTATCATGAAAAAGGTTGTTGTTTGCGTGATTTCTTATGTTTGTCGTTTGATAGATTGATGACCGAGTTAGTGTGTTAGAATGTGAGTATGTATGCCTAGACGAGATAAATGCTGATGTTAATGATGTGGCATTTATATTTTGTGATGACGATGATGATGTTGTTGCTGATGTTAGAGGCAATGATTGGGATGTAGATGGTATGGAAATGTTTGAATATTGCATTATTGGGATGAAGACCGGTAAAGATGGTGATAACGATGATGTTTGTGACCACGGTGGAGATGAAGTAAGCTGGTTGCTGATGTGTGTTTAATATGATTATTAGTGCTTATTACATTGTGATTATTAATGTTGTTGTTGGTGCTGCTGTTATGTTTTTTAAATGAATTTATGTCTTTGGTGGTGTTTTCATGATGCGCCTCATCAATATTCACTTGGACACTATCCATCACATACTGACCTTCATTGAGGAGGAAATAAATATTGTTGTTACATTTGATACTTTCAAAACGTTTAACAATAAATTTATAGAAATTTCACTTTCATTCAAATTATAATTAGGTCCTTATTCTTCAGCAAAACTGAAGAATACGTCTTCACGCTCTTCGTTGAATGACTTCTTCACGTCATTTCCGTCAGCGTCAAAGCTTTTCCTCTTTTTATACTTATCGTCATCATTTTGTCGCCATCATCGTCATGCTTATTTTCATTTTTAACATCATCATCATCCTCTTCATCATTATTTTTGTTAGGTGAACTCTCCATTTCATTAGAATTTTCCTTTCCTCGTTTATAAGTTTATAAGTTCAAATTCAAAGAGTCCCTTACAGATGTCCTGGCAGTCGGGCTAGATTGTTGCTACTTGTTTAACTCAGAAATCTCGACAGTTTCGCTGTTTTGCTGCTGAAATTGATGACCCTTTAGTTGTCCTTGGTGACGGTGCAGTTCTTCATTTTGTTGTTGTTGTGGACGGCGTTGCAACACTTTGAAAGGCTGCCGGGCTAGGTTAACACTGATTGAATGGAAAGATTTGCAGTGACCAATTTTGAACGCTAAAAGACCTCCCGCTCTTTCCGGGCATGTACGACGTCTTGCTCCGACACCTATGCATTCACTCCTACGTTGATTCTAAGAGCGTACAGGGCTCTATAGTAACGGTGCATCAACAATTACAAATTTTCCTTAACAGGCATCTTATCACATACAAATAACAAGACATTTTGTATTAAAATAAATTTTTTTGTCAAACACTTGCATATCAATTTTGACATTGCAACAATAGCATTGAGATAATAAGCAAATTAACTTACCAAACGTTCCGAATCATCAGCATCCACATTACCTTCTTTGTTTTGGACAGCGTATTTTTCAACAACAACAACAGTGTGAAGTGTCGTTGATTTATCCATTTTTTTAATATTTGGACAATTTCTACTCTATAAAAAAAATTACAAAAGGTATGTTAAACACAAAGCAAAAAAAAAAAATTTTATTTGAATTTTTCGACATATAAATAACTAAATCAATAATTTTGAGGAACACTTGAAAATAATTTCTCTGCCTACCTCTATCAGGCTTTCAACTTATATTTCTTCGCGGGATTCACATATATGTGTATGGCATATTGCGATGTTTCTGTCAAATTACACACACACACACACACACACACACACACACACACACACACATACACACACACACACACAGGAAAATATTAACTTTGTTAAAATGAACTTAGATGGAAATTGACTTTGTCAAAATGAACTTAGATGGAAATTAGGTGTCAGTTTTTTGTATTGGCTGGTCATCTTGCAAATATTATTAATTATTGTAAATTATGCATCCTAATTTACTAATAAACTAAGTAATTGTGGGATTTTAAACATTTAACTGAGGAGAACGTGAGATAACTTTTCATTTTTAGGTAATTTAATTCGCTAGGTGCATCAGCGGCGTAAAATTGTCAGACGCATGCACCCAGTCACTTCACTGTATGTTTGCTATTTTTTCGTTTGCCGAGTTTGTTCAAAATTTGTTTGATTTCTTTTCATAACTTGGACATCGTCATCTTTTAATATATGCATTTTTCATTTGTATGTGTATCTTCTAAAGATTAGTATTTCGTAGGTTGAATTGAAAACGTCTGCATTTGTTCGAACTAATATTTTTTTCAAAATTGTATACAGATAAACATTTTGAAAGGCACACGTCACAATTGCAACACTAAAAAAATTTAAAATTGATGTGAAATGAGCACTAAAATTATTATGATAGACATGTACGTACGTTGTGTGATGAGCCCGGTGCAAATAAGTCAATCTCTATGGCTTCTTGTAATTAAATGAATTATAAAAAGATAAAAGAAAAACTGTAATAAAAAAAGCAAATAACGTGTAAATAAATCACTTGACACAATCTGACGGCTTCCCAACAAGTTCACAACAACAAAAGTTTAACGAAATAATAGAAGTCACTTGAAAAATATGTCAATGACGAAATATAATCAACTCAACAATATAATAATTTACAAATAAATAACGATTGAGTTGAAGAGACAAACAGTTAAATAATTTTAACAAATATTTAAATTGTCAGTAAATTCATTGCACTTTTAATAAATAATTGGTCATGGATTAGTCTCAAAATGTTAAAAAAAAAACTAAAAGGTTTTTGTAAACAATCAAATCAAATTTTGTTGTGTGTTAATCATCAAAGTTAATGAATAATGTTAAGTGCGCTACGTGCCACATCTAATTAAATCAATATTATTTGTTGGTTTAATCCAACCAACTGAGAAACTGATTCAATATGACCAGGCAGGACAATTGTCTCGTAAAGGTACAAAATACAATAAAGGCTTTTACGTGCTACCTCCTTCACTTCGACTCTTTGAATTGAAACAGACTAGGAGAAAAGAGATAAACAAAAATATGAAAAAAAAAACAGAAGAAAGAAAGTGAAAAAATAAGAAAGATTAGAGACAGAAAGAAAGAGAGAGAGAGGAGAGAAAAAAGAGAGAAAGAGAGAGAGATGAAAGTAAAAAAAAAGAAAAAATAATAGATGCGGGCAAAATAGGAAATACTGAACAATTGAAATACTTGTTGAGATATGAAGTGCCAAAATATGAGCAAACAAATAAACACAAATAGAGAAGAACAACATGGAAATATAATGAATAATATAAAGAGTAAGAGTTGCAAACAATAACGTTTAAAACATTTTTTATAAATTAAAAACATGTGATTAATTTATTGACTATTCTTTGTTTGAGATATCGTTCATAACATTTTTGTTGTTGTTGTTGTTGTTGCTGTTATTTTTATTAATGTAATCGTCAGTGAAAAAATTATCATCAAGGATGTTGTTGTTTTCTGCGGTGTTATTGTTGTTGTTGTTTGTATCTTTCATGTTGTGTGAGTTTATCTCGTTGTCATCATCGTCGTTTGTTTGTAGTGTTGGTGAGGGGGATGATTGTTTATGTTGAACAGCAGGAGGGTAGCGTTGCATTCCTGGCAGTGAAAGTTGTTGTTGTTGTTGCAGGTAATGTTGAGGAGTGTTGGGAAAGAAAATGTTGTTGTTCATTAGTTTCATGATGTTTTGTTGCTGTGCGTGATCAGGTTGATGTTGCTTGTGTTGTTGATCGTTGAGGTCGGATTGTCTAAAGTTAGACTGTTGCTGATGATGTTGTTGTTGATTGTGTTGCTGTTGATGATTGTTTTGTTGGTGTTGTTGTTGATATTGCGGATACAAGAAACCTTTGTACTGCGTGCCATTCAACTCAATGCTCACCTCCATGGAATCATGTTTCTTGCCGTCCTCATCTGCAGCGATTTAAAATTTTTTATCTCAACTGAAAATAAATACATTATTTATGTTAATTCATCGGGATGTTGCTGGCTATTATCAAATTAGAATTGAAATTATGTTCGCTTCTTACGTTTATTAGTCAGTTTGATATTAACACCGGCCATACAAATCGGTGAACTTCGCTGTGATTGGTCAGTTTGTGTTTGTTTCTGTGATCCAGTACCCAATGAAACTTGTTTGGATGGTAAGGGACTGGTGTCTTCTGATTTACCATGAGTAGAATTTGAATCGGAAGTAAACGGCTAGATGAAAAAGTTCGATCACATTTTATTTAATTATTTTAAAATTATTACTAAAACTGAAAATTTTAAAAACATAATTAAAATTACATTTTCTCTTTTAAGGGCTTTGAAAGGCATTCCAATAGGAGTGTTGAGTTGTTCAGCTATTTTCTTATTGGTCACTGCATTGACCAATCGCGAAGCATCTTCCATTCTTTTCGTCATTTCGGCCATTGCCCTGGTTGCCAAGGAGACAGGATCATTAGGATGGGAATGATGATTGTTGGCGTGCGAGCTAGGATTAGGTGGAGGGAAGAAAAACGGTGACAAATTGAGCAAAGATGGATGGAGAACGTTGATTGGCTGATGAGGTGGTGGCAGTCTGAGATGAGTGTGGTGGTTCATCAGATCGGTGGGTGAGGGTTTCATGTGCTCTGCAAATTATATTCATGTCAATAAATTGAAAATAATTATTATTTTTTTTTGTTATATTCAACAAAGAAAATTTTTACTACTGATCTTGACACTTCTATAACCAAATCGTAATTTATTGCAAAGTTTAAAAAAAAAAATTCAGCATTATTTTTATGAGAAACAAAATTCAATCTGGCGCAAATTATTGCAACCACCACCCTCGTCATCATTTCGTCATCATGAAATGGTCAATATAATGCAATCGGTGGTCAGTTCTGAGTGTCATGAATCACATTGTCGAATTTTCATCTCTGAATTTAATTTATTCTCAGAACTCTGCACCAATTTGTTACCAGTGCTTTATCAGTTTCACTTCATAATACATTAAAATCGTCACCTCCCTCGTCATAATTTTAAGCAAAATTTATCCTTTCTGTCTTTATAATTTCTATAATTTTTCCTCATCATCATCATCATTATCTCATCATTCGTCATCATCATCCTCATCATCAGCATCATTCCATACAAATATCAAAAGCAGCATCTGCGTTCATCATCATCGTCATCGTCCTCACCATCATCATCAGTATCATCATCATCGTCGTCATCATCATCATCAATATGTAAAACAAAACATCTTTCTCTAATTAAACTTTCAAGAATTCGGTAATGCACAGTTAGACTCAATTATTTCAGATGCACTTCATTCATCCATCCATTCATTCATTCAATATGTTGGGCTCCTTCTCTCCATCAAATGATGTTTTCTTTTCGTTTATTATATATACACACATGTATGTGCAAATAATAATACATGTGCAAGTACATATATACAAATATAGATATATATACACACACGCATTAAATAGTTTTTATATGATATCTAAATATTTGTTTATTTATTATTTATTGATTTAATTAGTTGTTATTTTAATTTTTGCCGTTTATATTAAAAGTTTAAAATGTGAAAAATGAAATTAAAATAATAATGTGTACTTTATAATATTATATAATTATAATGAACCACTTTTTTTTAGTACTACTGTTTGGCCGGTACAATTTGTCACTTTGAAAACATTGAATTAGTAGACACGAGCCCAACTGTGAACGACGTTGATTTCAAAATATTTCAGAGATTAAAATAAATTTCACTCGGCCAGTTTTAAAGAATTCTCACCATCATTATTTGTTGCACGTAAAAAATTCATCAGTAGTATAGGACAGATCTCCATTCGATGTTTGAGGCCGTTCAGTTCATTCACTTGACTGATATGTTGGAGGTACGCTGTGGAAGTTGATGCAGTTCCACATTTTGATTAACTGGCACCTCCAATAAACTCCTGACAGCTAATATTTTCAGCAAAACGAAAAAAGTTTTTTTGCCGTAGAAATTATTTATTACTGAAATTTAATGGTAGGTAGGTTGGTAGAGTCAATAAGCAGAAAGTCAAGAACAGATGATGTTTTATGAAATAAATGCTTTTCACAGTGATTACGGATATATATTAGGGTGTCCCAAAAATATGAAGTTTTAAAATATTGATGTCTCACCCCATTAAATATGTCTGTATGGTAACAGTAATTTACCTGCTAAATTTTAGCCCATTTGGACAATGTTTAGAGGTCTCCCAAGGGGTCGAAAGTTTAAGATTTTAGTGTTTGATCGTTCGCTATCAACTTTTGATACAGTGTTATATGATATGATTATAAATGTTTTATGATTTGTTTATAAAAATGAAACAAAATATATAATTGTGAAAAAATATATAAATCTGCAATGCCTTTTATTTTTTAATTTCAAAAATTAGGTCAAAAATGATTGAAAAACAAGATTTTATTAAATTTCAGTTCGCTTGAATATTAATTAATGCAAATAATTCAAATTTTCGCTAACAGTTCACGATTATATTCTGTAAAGTTTTTCCTATGCTGTTCAACTACTTGAAGCAAAAATGGTTTCTGCTCTGCGTCTTTGGTGATTGTTTCATTGAAATGTTTTACCAACGCTACACCCCGTTCTGCAGAGTCATTGATGCAAACCAGATTCCTTACAAACACTGCTGCAAATTGGAAAAAAGGAGTATCTGACCAGTTTTCAACAAGTACATCAAGAAAACTGGCATCAATATTGGATGTTTCACGCAAATTGTCAAAACTTTGTGGTAGTGTTCTCGATCTGCTTGTATTGTGCGGACAAGATCAGTCTTTTCTTTGTCAGACAGGAGAGATGAAAAAAGAGCAAGAGTTGCCAATTCTGGACTCATGTACCAAGAATGACGCAGCATCATTTTTAATCCAGTCGAACCAAGAACTGCATCGTCGTAGTCATGCAAACGCTGTATCAACAAAATATCATTCACAGGTGCATCAGCAGTGAGCCTGCATGAAAACCACGACTGAAGATAAACACAAATGATAAACCGATTCAAACGTTGAATACCTTGTAATTTTCGAGCTGTTAAGTTAAAAATGGTTTTATTTACGGTGAATAATAGTTCAATTTTTAATGCGTAGATGGCTTTTGCCATCCATCGTGCCCTGTGCCGTGCACCAGGTTTGCGAATGGCTACATCAACCTGCAGCCCAACTATATGTGCAGCTAGAAGTAGAAACTCTAAATAGTCATCTCGTGAATGTCTGACCTCAAGTTGACATTTGATGAATGCTTTAATTGCATCTGAAACAATTATCAAAGAGGTTGATCTGGCTTCTGGTGTGTGATTCATTTCTGTCCATTTTTCACGAAACCTTTTGAAGAATAAAATTTCTGGTCCAGTGGATGTTCCAAGACAAACACTATATACACCGGCAAGCAGCACTTCAAACTTATGATGACGGCAAGCCATCCATAATAAAATACGTCCCATGGCTTTTTCTAGAAGAGTGCAAGCTCCATTGAGATTTCCAGTATTGGAAGCTGTCGTGTCAAAGCACATGCCAATAACCATTGATTCACACTTTCAAGATTTTATGTTCATGAACTGCATCAGCAGCTGATCGTCCTAATCCAGATGCTAACCTTGGAACTCCAAGAAGTTTTGTAGTGCCATCAACAAGGGATGAGAGCAGGACAGGTAACCAATCTACGTTGACAACACCAGTAACATAGCGAGTTGACTGGTTAAAAATATACATTTTTTGCATTTTCTAATAAAGATTATCATTCTACAGGTAATTGTTAATAATATTTTAAACTCTTATTAATGTCTGCACTGAGATAATTAAACTAGTTTGCATTTCTAGCTTTATTTCACTTATTTTGTGCAAATTGTTTAAGATTATTGATATGGATTTTGAATTAACTCGATAGTAAAATTTTAAAAGCCCTTGGGGGACCTCTCAAACTTGTTCAAATGAGCTGTAACTTCATCAATTTAATTATTGTACCCAAGAGACATCTTTCAGAGGGTGAGACATCAACTAATTAAAAAAAAAAATTTCAGTGCATTTCTGGGACACCCTAATATATATCTATAGCATTTATATACTTCCTTTCGTACATTTCGCATTTACATACTTTCTTATCATATATCGTGCAAAGGTCAATGTGTATGAAAATTATTATATATATATAAATCATAAAATTATGAAAGTAGGGGCTGGTTCATGATACACCAATGTATAGGATTATAGAAGCGAAGTCATTAGTGAGTAACGGATGAAATATAATGAAGACTATTGGCACGAAAATATCATTCTCGGCCAATTTATCACGCCAAGTTATGAAAGGCAAGCGACTTATTCGCATAAATCCAGACACGTACAAACGCACAAACATGCCAGAAGCAGGATCACAAACACGCACACAAGCAGGCACAAAACACACACACGCACAACATTCATTCGGCAATCAGGTAACTATTACATTAACCTCGAGAGAAGCATGTGTTCTTGGCTGTAAGTTGGTTGTTGTGTCGGATGGTTGATGTGTGTGATGTGGTGTTGGTGGGATGGTTGATGTTATTTGTTGTTTGAAAGTTGGTTGATGTGAGGTGGTGGTGTTTGTAAGATCTTCGGCTGAAATCACGTGCGCATTACACAGTTTGATTAGTTAATAATTGCTAGTTGCATTTGAAAATTTGTTACAATGATTTGTTGCATTCACACACGCACACATGTTCACATGAAACAAGCAGATACAAGCTCATACTCATAAAAAAGAGTTATAAAAGATATGCCATCACACTTCCACGAGTAAAAAAATCCAAACACAAAAAGTGCCTCATAAAGTAAGGTAACAAATTTATAGCATTCTCGGAATGATGGTTTGTGGCCAGAAGTTCGTCTATCTATCTATCTATCTATCTATCTATCTATCTATCTATCTATCTATCTATCTATCTATCTATCTATCTATCTATCTATCTATCTATCTATCTATCTATCTATCTATCTATCTATCTATCTATCTATCTATCTATCTATCTATCTATCTATCTATCTATCTATCTATCTATCTATCTATCTATCTATCTATCTATCTATCTATCTATCTATCTATCTATCTATCTATCTATCTATCTATCTATCTATCTATCTATCTATCTATTTATCTATCTATCTATCTAACTGATTCAATGGTTGTGTTTGTTTATAATACAGATTTGTATCGGTGTATGTACGTACATAAGTACATGTATGTATTGTATACATGCACGCTTAAATGTATATAGCAGGCAAAATACTTCCCGGCTTTTAAGATGAGTAATAAAAAGGTTGATGTGATTTTAAATAATGTGATGTGATAAAGTTGTGATGTGATGTAATGTCATGTGATGGAATAAAATGTGATCTAGTAACTATGATGCAATTTGGTCACGTGTAATAAATATGTACGAGTGCGGGTTGTATTATGTTGATTGTTATCTGGTGATCAATACACACTTTATTATAACATTTTCAGATGCTAAATTTAAATTTTCATGTATGCATACAGAGAGACGGAGAAAGTAAAAAAAAGAAAAAAAGAAAGAGAAAAAGAGAAAGAAAGAGAGATTTTGCAGTACAAAACAGGAAGAATTGACTCCACGAAATAGCTGAAACATTACGTAGGTGTATACAATCTGCAACGATGGCTGACCGGATCAACCATGAAACAACCTAACCCGTCTTGTAATATGAGTGCCTCACAGACTCTACAATTTTATTCTAATTGAATACATGTGTGGGGAAAATATATACCTTTACATACACACACTCACACACACACACACGCACATCACACACACACACCACAAACACATATATTATATAAATGGTATAACTTCTGTCTGTTTCTCTCTCTCTCTCTCTCTCTCTTTCTCTTTCTTTCTCTCTCTCTCCCTCTCTCTCTCTCTCTCTCTCTCTCTCTATATATATATATATATATATATATATATATATGTGCGTGTGTGTGTATAAATATATATATAATATTGTATATAAATGATTATTTATTGGATAAGTATGGGAATTTTACACTAAGAATTGTTGCTGATCTAGTAATAATAACAATAAATAATAAAATAATAGATAATAATAATATAATAATAATAGATAATAATTGTTATCATTTGAATGTGCATCGAAAGATGAAGTTTGAAAATGGCATTGGGCGCTTTGGGCGGTGCATCTGATTGCGTGTGTGACGGGTGCAGGCAGATCTCATGTTGAGGAAGTTGATGGAGTTTCATGCCGATGGAATCCTTACAGCAGTAGGAACATCTTGTAAAAGTGTACAAAACCTTTTTATAAACTTTAAAATTGAAATGTTTAAGTTGAAAAATCTTTGTGCAACTATCATTTCTATCATTTTCTGATTTTATTTGTTTTATTTTGTTTTGTAATAATGAAAATGCTTTTAATTGCGAGTGATTCAAATTGTTAATTTTTGGTCATACAAAAAAGTGAACTGACCAAACGACCATCCATTAGAACATAAAAGGTAAGTAAAGCTCAAAACAAAACAACAAATTTGACAAAAAATAAATATAAGCCTAAAAAGATTATCAAAGGACAAAGAACCAAAGACAAATGAACATTACACATACTACGGAGCAACACGTTTAAGTTTTAACAACTGAGATATTTGAGTTGATGGGAAAGATTTGATGAAGGAAATGGAATGAAGACCATTTAATATATAAATGGTCGTATTATTGTGATGTTTTCAATCATTAATCTTCTTAAAAACACGTCTGTTTGAAATTCATCACAGCAAATTCTTTCAATTATAACTGCTTCAGATGCACTATCCATCCTCTCTTCCCCCCTCTCTTTTTATTTTTATCTCTCTCTCTCTCTTACTCACTCTCTCCTGTCTGTCTCCCTTG